TCACGGGGGACCCTGTTTAAAAAAAAAAAAAAAAAAAAAAAAAAAAAAGAAGCTATTAAAAATGAGAAACAACCTAAATCTCCATCAATTCATGAGTGGGTAAATACAAGGTACAGACACATTCTATGAATATGCAGGTGCTGAAAGAAATGAGGCAGGTCTGTACTTTATTCACATGAAAAATCTCTAAAACATGGAAGCTGTTACATGACAATCCCAGGTAGGTCTACTCTTTCACATACACACACGTAAACCCTAATAAAAACAAAAATCTTGGGCACAAGATGGTTCAGCACTTGCTGTGCAAGTCAGACAAGGAGTTCAATCCCTGGAACCCGTGTAGGCAGAGGAGAGAACCAACTCCACAGGCTGTGCTGACCTCCACAAATGCCATGGTGCATGTGCCGCCCCCCAATCACATATACATATACATTTTTAGTTTAAAAAAACAACCTCTGCCATACACTTGCATAATTATATTTAGGAATTTAAATGCGTAAGGTCTGAGCAGACACTGAACGTTAAATTAATAATGGATCTGGCAGAGCAGCAGCAAATGTTGAGAAAAGGGTTTATGAATATAAAATGGACATTCACTTTTTACTCCATAAACTTTATTATTTGATTCTATTTTTACTATATTAGTTATTTAAAAATTCTTTAAAAGATAAGATTCCGCCCCCCCAACTGTCTCAGTATGTAACCTTTGCTGGCCTTGAACTTTCTTGGTCTTCCTGTCTCCTCCCGCAGTTAGGACTTGTGTGTACCACCATATGTAGCTGCATCAGCTTTTATTGTTATATTTGGCTCTTAGCCTTACATTAAGTCATTTTGCCCTCTCTTACCGTATCCCAGATTTGCAGTTTGATTTGTTTTCCATCAATGTTGATCATACGGGCTCCAAACTCCACACCTGTCAGGGAAGGCCAAGAGGAGAAATGTGATTGTAATGAACACACACATGTCAAGTGGGAGGCTCATACTTCCTCTACTGTGTTCCAACTCATCCTTGGTCTTCACTCTGGGGCATCCGGCCCAACACAGTTGCCCACTGCTCCAATTAAGTTTGCATTCCTTTAAAGTTTCTAGAATAAAAAATTCATGGGCTAGGGATTATAGCTCAGTTGATACAGTACTTGCCTAGCATGCATGAAGCCCTAGGGTCAATTCCCAGTACTACATAAAAGTAGGCAGGCATGGAAATATAAGTATAGCTCACCAACTAAAAGTGTATCTGCTCTTTCAAGGGACCCAAGTTGGTTTTCTTAGTACCCAGGTCAGGAAACTTACATCTGACTGGAACTCCAGTTCCATTGGACCCAACACCCTCTTCTGGACTCTGTGGGCACTTGTGTTCACACATGCACATATCCACACAGAGACAAAGAAATATATACATAATTAAAGATAAATCTGAGGGGCTAGAGAGATGGCTCAGTGGTTAAGAGTACTGATTGCTCTTGCAGAGGACCCAGGTTTGATACCCAGCATCCACATGGTGGTTAACAACCATCTCTAACTCCAGTTCCAGAGGATCCAACGCTCTCTTCTGTCCTCCAAGGGCACTGTACAACACAAGTGTACTTGTATACATGCAGGCAATACATGCATACACATAAAATAAAAATAATAAAATATTTAAAAAATATGTAGGTATGTAGGAAATTTTGTCATTAGCAGTTTCCATACTAATGAATTGCAAAACAGCTGTTTTTATTTTCTAAGAAAAAAAATCAAAATAAAACAGATGAATAAATTTTTATGAATATTAGTTTATACTGAAATCTGACTAGGTAATAATTTCATAATTCAAAAAACTTCTAAAATTTTCCAAGTATTTGAGTTTTTTTTATAAAGATTCTATTTTTTTTTTAATGTGTACAAGTGTTTTGCCTGTATGTATATAAGTGCACCCACGCCAGGTGTGGTGGCACACACCTTTATTCCCAGCACTTGGGAGGCAGAGGCAGGTAGATCTCTGTGAGTTCAAGGCCACCCTGGTCCACCCTATCTCAAAAAGACCAAAAAAAGGAAAGATCATTAATTTAGCTTGCCTTCAGGATTGGTATTGTACCAATTCAGCTGTCCTATGTAGACATGCAAGTTATGTCTAGTGTATTTCTATTTCAAGGTGTTACGGGCTATAAGAAAGATGAAAAACTGCTTCCTACTACTCCAGTTGCTTCAACAAGAATCAAAAGGCAGCTTTTGAAAAAAAAAAAAAAGTCTTTTTTTTTCTTTCTGAACAATAAGAATGAAATTTCAATGAGTGAAAAAAAAGCCGATCATAGGGATGCACACCTACAATCCCAACACTTAGGAGATGGAGGGGGAAGACAGGACCTGTTCAAAGTCATCTTCAGCTAGTTCAAGGCCAGCTTGGGGTACAAAAACAACAGCAACTAACTTATTAAACGCAGTGTGGTGGTGCATGCCTGTCTCAGCATTTGGGAGGCTGAGGCAGGAGGACTGTTCTGAGTTCACTGCCAGAGTGGGCTACAGAGTGAGTCTGGAGGCTAACATGGGCTATCAAGCCAGACCGTTTCTCAAAGAGGAGAAATGAGGACAGTAGGAGGGAAGGGCTGCGATGGCTGTTCAACTGGCTTCTTTCCTAACATACACACACAAATCAGGTATCAGTGTCCACTTTGAAAAACTTGTGAGGTTGGTATGAGGTTACCACAAACTACAGATGAGTTTCTGAATAAGCCGTCATGCTTTCCTGGAATTTTCCACAAACATACAAATTGCATTTGAAGAAGGAAAAAAATTCCCAACCAACAAGTCCGTATCTTACATTCATCTCTAAAATTTACTCTCCATTTATCTGCCGTAGACATTTTTCATGTAACATGACCGGACTGAAGCAACGAGGGGTAACTTTTGACTTGGAACACTGAGGCTGCTCACTGCCTACTTCGGCAGCTTAGCCAGCCGGTTTTTACCTGTTCTGGAACGAGGAGATACGCTTACCTATCGTGAGGTCGTGCACAGGCTGGAACCGCTTGTCGGTGAACTGCAGGAGGAGACATGACTTCCCTACACCTGAAACACGAGGGCGTGGGTTAGCGGCCTCCTAGCCAGGGCAGCCACCGTCCAGCCCTGGCGGCCCGGGCAAGAAAGGGCCGGAGCCCCGCCTCCGGCAGCCGCCCCGCCCCCGCCGCTCAACTCCACTCGCCCAGCCCCGCCCCAGGCCGACGAGGGAGGTGGGGCCCCCGCTTCGGCCTCCGGGGCGGTCGGGCGGGTTACCTGTGTCTCCGATGATGATGTACTTGAAGAGATAAGCATAAGTCATGGTCCCCACCGTCTGTGTTCCGGGTCCGCCCGATTTCTACGGCCACTTACCCGCCCCCCCCGACCTCTCTAGCCACTCAATCTACCGAGCTCCTCATTTGCGTCCGCTCCAGCCCCTCTAGCCCAGGCCACGTCTCTACTGCTTTCCCCGGAAATCCTCGCTTGGCGCGGAATACCCAACACCGCCTCTGGGAACGCCCCGCGCTCTCCTACATGCCATCATCCCACCAAGCTCCAGGGGGCGATAGCGAGCCTTCAGGTCGGCTGGAATCGTGACGCCTGGCGGCCCCTCAGCCCTCCTTCCAATTGGCGGAGGGCGACGCTCTTCCTTGAGGAAGTGACGCAGTTCCAAATGCGGTGGGGGCGGTGGGAGTGATGAGGGCGCTGAGACGGTGGTGGCGGCTATGAAGATGGAGGTAGGATCGCGGCCCAGAAGCCGACGGAAGCGCGCAGCCGACGAGGGGGACGCGGAGGCGGGAAGGCGGGAGGAGCGGCTGGCCGGGAGGGAGCGGCCGCGGATGTCGTCCGAGGTCGGGTTCGGAGGCCAGCCAGCCCCGCGCTGCGCCCACTTATCCGCGGCTTTCTTTTGGATTCCAGTTTCCCGGAGGAAATGACAATTACCTGACAATCACGGGGCCGTCGCACCCCTTCCTGTCTGGGGCCGAGGTGAGCACGAGCCGCCGACGCTTGGGGCGCGGGAGGGCTGGGGCAGTGTTTGGGGTAGCGCGCTGGGGAGGAGAGCACGGGCCGGCGGGGGCCGCGAGCCCGGGCTGCCATTGGTGTTGGAGAAAAGTGGTCGAAGCTTCTAGAGCCTATGAGGGCTGTCTGCGGAAGAACGGGAAGCTGTTGTCATCAGAAAACCAGGATGTTGACACAACCACTTTGAGGAAGGAGAGCGGTTCGGAATCGAAAGACCAGGTGGAATCGCCTCCTTTCGTTGTGAATAGCTGCAACGATATTGGGGGAAGGCAGTGTGAAGAAACCAGGATACGGAAGTAGTTTACCCAATAGGGGTTAACCTCAGACATGTGGGTTTCTTTCTTTTCTTTTTTCTGTGTTTTGTTTTCATTTTGTTTTGAAACAAGGCCTCACTTGTAGCCCTGACCTGCCTGGAACTAGCTGTGTAGACCAGGCTGGCCTCGAACTCACACAGATCCACCTGCCTCTGCCTGCCCCCACCCATCCAGTGCTGGGATTAAAGGTACCCCTGCATACGGGTGCATGCTGGAACTCTGTTGAAAGGGTTGTTTTCACTTGAAATTACTGCTCCGATAAAAGTAGTTGCTTTGGGACTGCAGACGGCTCAGCGGTTAAGAACCCTGGCTGCTTTTGCAGAAAACCCAGATTCTTTTCCCAGCACCCACATGGCGGCTAACAACCGTCCATAAGGCCAGTGCCAGGGCCCTCCGCTGCGTGTGCACTAACAGTCACACACAGAAATTTTTTTTTTAAAGTGGTTGCCTTTGCTAATATGATGTCTGCTTGTTTTGCTAAGGAAAGAAAATAGCTTCCAGAGAACTTAAAAGGAGTTGAGTATTTCTGTTTGCTTAATTTTGAGCAAATTCACCCTTGTATCACAGCTGTCAAACAACTATAATAGTAGGGTATTTAAATTTTGTTTGTTTTTTTAGTCTTTTTGAGATAGGGTCTCCTGTAGCCCCAGCTGTCTTGGAGCTCACTTTGTAGACCAGGCTGGCCTTGAACTCACAGAGGTCCGCCTGCCTCTACCTCCCAAGTGCTGGGAGTGAAGGCGTGCACCACCAGGCCGGGCTTGTTTGTTTTTTCAAATGATGGCATGAAGTAGAAGTAATGATTGTGGTAGGCTCTCAGGTATCCTGAAAATATTTGGTTGAAATACTGTAAATATGGGGCTGGAGAGATGGCTCAGTGGTTAAGAACACTGGTGGTTCTTGCAGAAGACCCGGGTTCGAATCCCAGCACCCACATGGCAGCTAACAACTACTCGTAACTCCAGTTTCAGGGGATCCGACTTCCTCTTCTAACCTCCGCTGGTATTGCATGACACAGGTGCACTTACCTACATGCAAGCAGTACACACATACACATAAAAAAAATAAATTAAAAAAAATACTGTAAATGTGTAGCACTTGTTTAGACAAAGTAAAGGTGGATCTTTTGAGAATTCCACAGTTTTGGCAGTTGTAGAGAATGTATTAAGACTGGAACCTTCCACCTTTTGTTTTTCTTTTTGGGGTAAGGTCTCACTGTGGAGCCTAGAGCTTGCTATGTAGATCAGGATGGCTCTGAACTGACAGATACCTACCTACCTCTTCCATCCAAGTGGTAAGATTAAAGGTGTGCACTACCATGCCAGACTTCATCTTTTGAGGAGTTATAGTTGTTTTTTTTCTAAAAGGGGTGTAAACCGTTTGTATCGTTTTTGGTTTTCACCAAGTATTTGCAATTACTGTTGAGTGTGTTTATCCTATAATAAATCCTAACATTTTTATGATTGAGAACTAGGTTGTCAGTGAGTAGTTGCTATTTTTTTTCACTTATTACTATTACTGAATATTTTCCTAAGCAAGGAGGTGTGTGAATCCAATGAGTGACAGAATTAGAAATGATATAAACTAAATTTTGTGGGGCTGGAGAGATAGCTCAGCAGTTGAGTAGTACTCCTCTTGCAGAGGACCCAGGCTCAGTTCCCAGCATCCACATGGTGGCTATCAGTTACCTGTTATTCCAGTTTCAGGGGATCCAACACCTTCTGGCCTCCATATGCAAGCATTGCATGTATGGATGCACTTGCCAAGCATGCAGGCAAAACACTCATATACATAAAATCTTGTGTTTTGCAGTTTTATTTCGTTTCTTCTGAATAAGGTCTTCATAGGTTTTGTTTGTTTGTTTGTTTGTTTGGTCTTTTTGAGACAGGGTCTCCCTGTAGCCCCAGCTATCCTGGAACTCACTATGTAGACCAGGCTGGCCTTGAACTCACAGAGATCCGCCTGCCTCTGATTCCCAAGTGCTGGGATTAAAGGCATGCGCCACCATGTCTGGCTTGTAAGGTCTCCATAGTTTAATTTCATTGTTTGGAGTGTTGTAAATGTCAGATTGACCCTGTTCATGTGAAAGTGCACGCACCACGCTGCCCAGCGTATTATATCAGTTTTTGAAGAAATTATATCAGTTTTGAAGAAAAGTAACAGTGTTCTGCTGAATAAATAGATGTTAAACTAAAATCAATTTCTCTAAATTTAATATACAAGAAACTTCCAAAAAATACTGGATGGCTGGGCTGTGAGTTGATTTTAGAGGTCTTGCTTAGCATGTGGAGGCTCTAGGTTCAAGGCCTAGGGCAAAAGAAAGAAGGAAGGGAGGAAGAGGGGACTGAGAGAAGGGAAAATGGTAGTTTGGGTCTTTCGTTTCTTTTAGTACCTGTATGTGTTTGTGTCTGTGTGTATGCACATGTATGTGCAGTGCCTCCAGAGGCCAGAATAGGGTGTAGGAGCCCCTGGAGCTGGAGTTACAGGTGAGCTGCCTGATGTGGGTGCTAGGAAACAAGCTCTGGTCCTTTCCAAGAGCTGTGCAAGTGCCCTTGACTGCTGAGCCATCTCTCCAGCCCTCTTTCTGTCAACATCTAAGCATCCTTTATATTTTTAATTTTATTTACTTATTTTGTGAGTACGCACACGTATATGCTGTGGTGTTTGTGTGTGGGAGAGGGAAGGTTCTCCACCTACCGTATGGGCCCCAGAGAGCTTGCTGATCCATCTTTCTGGCCTGTAAGTATTCTTTTTTTATAAACTAATTCCAAAACTGGCCTTTACCTCATAAAATTCAAAGTTTGGGGACTAGGCAGATGGCTTAGTGGGTAAAATGCTTGCCCTGTAAGCATGAAGACCTGAGTTCAGATCCCCATTACTTACATCAAAAGCTGATCATGTAGGCACATGTCTGTAATCTCAGTGGTGGGGAGGCAGAGATAGGCAATGCTCACTGGCCAGCCAGAATAGCTGAATAGGGGTACTACAAGTTCAGTGAGAGTTTGTCTCAAAAATAAGGTGGAAGCAGCTGGAGAGATGCCTCAGTGCTTAGGAATAGTTGCTGCTCTCATGGAGGACCCAAGTTCTGCTCAGAGTACCCATATCAGGTGGCTGACAATCACCAGTAACTCCAGCTCCAGGGAATCCGATGCTTTCTTCTGGCCTCCACGGGCACTCACAGACAGGTGCACATAAACACACAGGTACACATAAACTTAAAAAAATATTTTAAGGTGGAAAGTGATTGAGGAAGACCCTTACATACACACCACAAAAAGAAACAAAAAACCCCAGGGCCTTAAAGGAAAACAAAGCGAGAAGAGAAAAAGTATCATGTTCCTGTTTCGCCAGTGTCCAAACCACGTGGTTCTTATTTTCACTTTAATATTTGTTAGTTTTAGGTTTGATTTATTTATTTATTTATTTATTTATTTATTTATTATTATTTTTTTGGTCTTTTTGAGACAGGGTCTCCCTGTAGCCCCAGCTGTCCTGGAACTCACTATGTAGACCAGGCTGGCCTCGAACTCACAGAGATCCGCCTGCCTCTGCCTCCCAAGTGCTGAGACTAAAAGTGTGCGCCACCTCACCTTACATTACTCTTGGTTTTTTAGTGCAGACTGTGAGGGCAATCCAAATGGTTTATGACAGGAAGTCTCTTACTGAACACTGTTTCCTTGTTACGTATATGAGTGTTCATTCTTTCTGAAAGTCAAAAGTCATTAACAAATAGTACCCTGTCTCATATTATGGCAGAGCTACTATTTTGTTGTGGTAACCAGAAAAGGATAGGCCTCTTTTGCTTTTGCCAAGGCAATTGGTATCTTACAGAACTGAAAACTTAAGAATCTGAAATATATAGTAAATGTTCTCCTTGATCCTTTCTCATGTCTCTATACATTTTCTAATTGGGCTGAGAATCTGGTATTTAAAAAAAATACTTTGTGTCCTCTTCCTGAAAAATGCTCATATTTAACCTTAAGTTTTAGAAGAATTTCCACACTATAACAAAAATTATGAATTGTGTAGGGAAACGTTTAGTATTTCGTCAAGAACTCCCTGCTCCTGTTTTGTGTACGCCACTCAGCTTACCATCCTGGACAGCCACCAAAATGACAGTACGGTCGTAAGACGAGGACGGCCACCAAATGACAGCACAGTAGTAAGATGAGGACAAGTGTCAAAATTGGGCCTGTGTGAAGATCTTTTTGTGCTTTATTAGTAAGAGTAAACTTCTTTTTGCCGGTATGATTTCAGAGAGATGGGCATTCCGCAGGTGTACTCTTTGCTCTCTGGTTTTTACTAGCTGGAGGTAATGGGCCTAGTCATGTCTTTATTCAAACAAAACTAATCAGGAGACCCCATTCTTAGTCTAGAAAATTTTTGAGAAATTCTTCTTAAAATTCATTATTTAATCATGAAAACTATGTGGGTACCCATCTTACTTGAATCTATTGGTATTTATTCTGTTTAGCTTCTAAAATTCCAATTGTCAAAGGAAAAATTTGCGGGGTATGGTGGCACAGGCCTTTAATTCTAGCATTTGTGAGGCAGAGGTGGGTGGATCTCCGTGAGTTTGAGCCCAGCCTGGTCTACATAGTGAGACTCTCAAATAGAAAAATTTGAGTTATCTATGATAATTGATTGGGGTAGCTGGAAATCAAAAATGTAGCTTTTACTAAAGAATGTATTGACGTTACTAAAATAATGGTTAATGGCTATTAAGCAATTACATGTATCAGATAGTATGGTAAGTTTCTAGGCACTAAATCTCATCTACATAACCTGTACAAGGGGATTACCATTATAATGTCTTGCTTGTTTTAACATTTTATGTGTATTTTACATGCTTGCATGTGTGTAAGTGCACCTGTGTCATGCGGTGCCCTCAGAGGTCAGAAGAGGGAACTGGAGTAGTTACCAATAGTTGTTAGCTGCCATCTGGGTGTTGGGGAGTCAAACCCAAGTCCTTTGCAAGAGTAGCCAGTGCCCTGAACCATTGAGCCATCTTTCCAGCTTCTTCTTTCCAGCTTCTGTTTTTGTTTTCTTGAGATAGGGTTTCACTCTGTAGGATGACCTATAAACTATCACCCAGTCTTGCCTCAAACTCCTGGTAATCTTCCTGCATCAGTTTTTTGCATGCTGAGATTACAGGTTTACACCACCAGGCCTGACTATAATCTCCATTTTATAGATGAAAACCTATTCGAGGTCATATGATAAATGGTAGGTCTGAGACTTGAGCCACAGTTCTTTCTACAAATGTCTTGCTATTACTTAGAGTGCTTTATTACTTCAGATGCCTCTATTTTAGTCTTTTAGTGCCTTAAGGAAACCATAACAGTTAATATAGCTTGGGTTAGACATTACTGTTAGTTTTGAGGTTGGTGGTCCCATTCAGAATAGGCGTGAAGCTGGGTGTGGTGGTATATATTTGTAATCCCAGCAGTCAGGAGGCTTGCCATTTGAGGCCACCCTGGGTGAGACTCTGTCTCAAAAAACAAAATAACAACAACAAAAAACTTCCAGTGAATTATTGTACTCTGACTCAGAGGAAGGAAGTGGGTCTTTAGCAAGAATAATTTATTATTATTATTATTATTATTATTATTATTATTATTATTGTCTTTTTAGACAGGTCTCCTTATATATCCAGCAGTCCTTGAATTCCCCATGTAGACTAGGGCTGGCCTTGATCTCATAGAGATCCATCTGTCTCTGCCTCCTGAATGCTGGGATTAAAGGCATGCACTACTATACCCAGATTTCTTTTGTTTAATTTTTATTTTAAAATTTTTTTACTATTATTTTTTAGATAGGGTCTTGCTATATAGGCCAAGTTGGCCTGAAACTCACTTTGTAGTTGTTATCTGTTTTCTTGGTATTACTGGGTTTCCTCCCAAATCCTGTGCAAATAAGAATCTTATTTATTGGGGCTGGAGAAATGGCTCAGTGGTTAAGAGCACTGACTGCTCTTGCAAAAGACTGGGATTTGATTCCCAGCACCCACGTGGCAGCTAACAACCATCCATAGCTCCAGTTCCAGATCTGATGGGATGCCCTCTTCTGACCTCCGAGGGCATTGCACAACATGGGTGCGCTTAAATGAATGCAGGAACAATACACATAAAATAAAAACGTTAAAAAAAAAATCTTATTGGTTGCTAACACTAGTTTCTAAAATAAAGCAATGGGAAACTTTTTAAATTTTTATTTTTATAGCCAGGCGTCGTGCCACATGCCTTTAATCCCAGTACTTGGGAGGCAGAGGCAGGCAGATCTCTGTGAGTTCAAGGCCAGCCTGGTCTATGTAGTGAGTTCCAGGCCAGCTGGTGCTACCAGGAGACCCTGTCCCAAAAAGACAAAAAAAAAATTTTTATTTTCTGTGTGAGTGTTTTGCCTGCATGTAAATGCACTCATGTTGTACATACCCTGCAGAGGTCAGAAGAGCGCATCAGATCCCTTGGAACTGGAGTTATGGATGGTTGTTAGCAACCATGTGGGTGCTGGGAACCGGAACCTGGTCTTTTGCAAGCAGCCAGTGCTCTACACTGAGCTATTTGTCCAGCCCCAAGAAACTTTTAAGTGCTAATATTTTAGTGTGGGGTAAATAAGTTATAAGGCTGGTTCCTTACTAATTGTGTTAAAAGAATTATTAGAAGAGTAGACAGTTATGTACGACAAAGGTAGTAAAGGTTGAAAAGAGATAAAAGAATTGATAATTGTGATTGATGTTGGCATCTTGGATGTTTCCCATAACTCAAAATTTGAGAGGATAAATAGATCATTTGTAAAATTCAGTAAGGTCTATGAAGTCTATAACAAAAATAAGATCACAAGTTATTTAGAGGTACACTGACGGTCTCTAGTGCCCAGCCATGTCCTTCTCTTAGCAATGTGCAGTTTCTCCTCTTCCTAATAATTTGTTTTCTCTTTTCTCCCCTACAGACATTCCATACACCAAGTTTGGGTGATGAGGAATTTGAAATCCCGCCCATCTCCTTGGATTCTGATCCCTCACTGGCTGTCTCAGATGTGGTTGGCCACTTTGATGACCTGGCAGACCCCTCCTCTTCACAGGATGGCAGTTTTTCAGCCCAATATGGGGTTCAGACATTGGACATGCCTGTTGGCATGACCCATGGCTTGATGGAGCAGGGCGGGGGGCTCCTGAGTGGAGGCTTGACCATGGTAAGGGGCAAGACGATGCCAGGTTCACCCAAGTTCATAGGAATGGTATTTGGGGATACAGTAGTTACTTGCTATTCCCTGCTAAACTTGGCCATTACTTGTTTCTTTTTTTTCAGTCTTTTTGAGACAGGGTCTCCTTGTAGCTCCAGCTGACCTGAAACTCACTATGTAGATCAGGCTGGCCTTGAACTCACAGAGATCTGCCTTCCTCTGCCTCCCAAGTGCTGGGTAGGTGAATGCTATCACGCCCAGCAACATTACTTGTTTCTTATTCTTATAGCTAAAGCTGCAACACAAAGGCTTAAATTTTACCTGAATAAATGAGATTTGCTTGAAAAATGATTGTAAATTGTGAAATGTCCCATGTCAACTTTGAAATGAAAATGATTTTTGGTTTTTTAATAGCAGAGTTTTCTTTTTACTATAGCATTTATACTCTATAATTCAGATCTAACTGGTACATCGGGCAATTTGTTCAAAAATGATCTAAATCAAGTGTAATATTAACTGTACATTAGTGTCTTACAAATCAGTGTGTTGGGTTTCCAGCACATCATCAGTAACACATCTCTATACTGCATTTGATGACAAATATCTCCACTGTTTAGCCCTATCTACTCTCACTGTCTGGCATTGTTTTAGAAGGTGCAGTTGGGTTTAGCTTTGGTGCTGTCACTACCCACGGATTACTAAGTGAGTTATTTGTCCTTTTTGTTTCTGAGACTGGGTCTACCATGTAGCCCTGGCTGGCCTTGAACTTGCAGTGATCCTCCTGCCTCTGTCAGAGTTATGGACATATGCTACAATACCTGAATTACTTGCTTTTGAACTAGTTCAAGATTTAAGACTTTTCTGCCCCAAATAGGTCTTTGACTACAAAGTGGATTTACTAATTTCTGCTTTTTTTTTTTTTAAAATGCCTAACGTTTTTATTATAGACAGATTATCTGAGGTTCTGTGTGGTTTAAATGATGATAGTCAGCTCTTTAATCCCAGCACTTGGGAGGCAGAGGCAGGTGGATCTTTGTGAGTTCCCGAGGCCAGTCTGGTCTATAAGTTCCAGCACAGCTGGGGCTACAAGGAGACCCTGCCTCAAAAAGACAAAAAAACAATGATGATAGTCTTTGTAAGCAAGGGATTTAAAAACAGCTGAATTCAGGAGGGGGAAATGGTGGTTTATTATTTAGTGTCTAATTAGTCCTTCTGCTTCTCTCAGGACTTGGACCATTCTATAGGAACTCAGTATAGTGCCAACCCACCTGTTACAATTGATGTACCAATGACAGACATGACATCTGGCTTGATGGGACATAGCCAGTTGACTACTATTGATCAGTCAGAACTGAGTTCTCAGCTTGGTTTGAGTTTAGGGGGTGGCACTATCTTGCCACCTGCCCAGTCACCTGAGGATCGTCTTTCAACTACTCCGTCACCTACTAATTCACTTCATGAAGATGGTGTTGATGATTTCCGGAGGGTGAGGCGTTCCCTGCCAAAATCAGTTCTGTTGATAATCCAGGATAAAACTCTTGGCGTATAAAGCCTAATCAATATTCTACCCTGCCATCTTCTCTATTACTGGTTTCTGGGTATGGGGGTCCTACCTCTTGATTTGCAATTTATAATGTAACTCCCAATCACAGTTCTTAATGATTCTCACATATTTTACTAACGACTTTTAAAACTGTTGCTTCTGGGGGCTGGATAGATGGCTCAGCGGTAAAGAGCACTTGCTGCTCTTGCAGAGGACCCGGGCTCGGTTCCTAGCACCCACGTGGTAGCTCACAACTATCCATAACTCCACTTCCAGGGGATCCGATGCCCTCTTCTGGTCTCTGCAGGCACCAGGCATACAAGTGATGCACTAACATGCATGCAGGTAAAACACTCATACATAAAAAGTAAATCTTTAAGAAAAGTAAAAACTGTTGTGTATTTTTAGCATAAATTCCATACCTGTGGCAGTTTGACCTCCTATAAAAACCCTTTCCTTACAGATCTTTAGATCAAATTCTTCCCTTCTTTCTTGTAATCTTAATCCTCCCCCCCTTCTCTCTCTCTCTCTCCTCTCTCTCTTCTCTTTCTCCTCTCTGACAGCAACTTCCCAGCCAGAAGACCGTGGTAGTGGAAGCAGGGAAAAAGCAGAAGGCTCCAAAAAAGAGAAAAAAGAAAGACCCTAATGAACCTCAGAAACCTGTCTCTGCGTACGCTTTGTTCTTTCGTGATACTCAGGCTGCCATCAAGGGACAAAATCCTAATGCTACCTTTGGAGAGGTTTCAAAGATTGTAGCTTCCATGTGGGACAGTCTTGGAGAAGAGCAAAAACAGGTGAAGTAGTAAACCAATGGGTAGTAGTTTTTAAGAGGAAAAAAAAAGCAAAAATTTTTTCTTAAATGTCTTTATTGATCAACTCTGCTAACTGAATTCACACATCCTGTGTCTTAGAAGTTTCAGAAAAAAAGCATTTTATTTTAGTTATTTTTGTGGTGTTGAGTAGCAAACCCAAGTTAAACTATTAGTAATAATTATAAAATAACCACCATTCCCCTCTTGGTGCTGAAGGTGGAATCTGAGGTTCACTTTCTAGTTAAGGTCACAGCTTTTAAATGATACAGTTGAGACAGCCTGGCTTCTTCTGAATCCCATGTGATTTCTAGTTCCTCTTGTGTCTTCAGCTTAGTGTTTAGATTAACTTTCCAAAGCCTCATTTTTTCCTATTTGTAAAATTAAGCTATTCCTTGATAGGTTGCATGTTGAGACTAATCCTTAACATTTGCATTTATAATTTAATTTACAGTTTTCTCATTTTCAAGTGTAAACTTGAAAACTGTAATCTCCCTAAATTTTTTTAAAAAGTCAGCAGCTTGGGGCTGGAGAGATGGCTCAGCGGTTAAGAACACTGGTTATTCTTGCCAAAGACCTGGGTTCGAATCCCAGCACCCACATGGCAGCTAACAACTGTCTGTAACTCCAGTTCCAGGGGATCTGTCAGCCCCTTCTGTACTCCACAGGCACTGCATGACATGGGTGCACTTACCTACATGCAGGCAATACATGCATACACATAAAATAAAAATAATAAAAAACATTTTTAAAATATCAGCAGCTGAACGTGTACCCATAGTAAAGAAAGAGGATCCTGTGAGCTCAGGTATTTGGGGTCAATAACATAGTGAGACATCATCACCCCCATTTTTTATAGGAAAGGGAAAAAAAGCTGGCATTGACAGCATATACCTATAATTTCAGCACTTGGGAAGAGTCAGGAATTCAAGGTTATCCTCAGCTGCATAGCAAATTCAAGGCCAGCCTGGGCTACACAAGACCCTGTCTCAAAAAAAGAAGCTGGGCAGGTGGCTGGAGGATAGCTCAGTGTGTAAAATGCTTATTGTGCAAGCATGTGGATCTGAGTTCCAATACCCAACACCCATGTAAAGGCCAGGCACAGAGGAATCTGTTAAGTAGCACTTGGGGTAGAAGTGGGATTGTGGAGACGGGTAGTTCCCTGAAGCTTATGGACCAGCTAGCCTAGCTAGTCAGTGAGTTCCAGGTGCCTTGTCTTGAAAAAATGCAGGGGAGAAGCCGTCTAAAGTCAACCTCTGACCACCACGTGAACTCACACATACTCATACACACACACAAGCTAGGTGTGGTGGCACATTCCTGTAATCCTGGTACTCTGGAGACAGACAAGAGGATCGTTATAAGCTTGATCCTACATAGTCAAGTTCCAGGCTAGCCAGGGTTACACAGCAAGACTCGATGTCTCATAAAAAAGCACAGAATTTAAAAAAAAAAAATAGTATTGTGGCACACACCTGTAATCCCAAGCACTTGGAAGGCAAAGGCAGATCATGAGTTCAAGGCTAGCCTAAGCTACCTAGCAGGATCCTGGGCAGGGGAGGGGGGGAGGGAAGAGAGGGAGACTGAATACTATAAATTAGTGCTGCTCAAATACAAAGTAAAGTTGAAGAGGTTAATTATCATCCACATGTGTGCATGCATCTTGTGTCCGAGCAAACTTTTCAGTTATCTGTTGCTGTTTCACCACCACAAATTTAATGGCCTCAAACAACAGTTTATTGCTTCTCATTCTGTTAGTTTGATGTCTCTGCTGTCCTTGCCTGGGCTTCTTACTGTTGTGTGATAGCTGATGTGGCAAAGACGCCTTTGTTCCCATACCTGGCAGTCAGTGCCGTCTGTTAGTCAGATGTGTTAGTGTTCCTTCGTGTGGCCTTTTACGTTGCAGGTAGTGGTAGGGTTAGAGTAATACTCTGAAGTTTGTTACTTCAGCCACATTCTAAAGATCAAACAAGTCACAGAGATGCCCAGAGAAAAGGAAATGGCCTTCAGCTTTTGATGGGAGAGGAGGCCTACAGATGGTAAGGACTCTTGGGTCCATCTTTGATAACTTTAAGGAAAAAGTTTCTGAGTTCGGCAGTCACAGATTACGTAAGTTGATCTTAAGCAGTTTGGGAGTTGTTTTTATTTTTGTTAGACAAATGAGTGGGGATTACTTCCTGTTCAGTTTAGAAGTGCAGTTACTCTGGCAAGACTGGGGAGTGAGTCTGCCACAGGCACTGTCATTGCTGGCTCAGAGGTGTTTTTACAGAGAGTTTGAAGTGACTGGACTGATGAGTTCCTGATGAATAGTGATAGACTATCAGTCTTTTCTAGCAGTATAGGGACTTTTCAAACAATTTTGTCATTACTGTAGGTGTATAAGCGGAAAACTGAGGCTGCAAAGAAAGAGTACCTTAAGGCCCTGGCTGCTTATAAAGACAACCAGGAGTGTCAGGTAAGAGAATTAGAATAAACATGTTTTAACCAATTAAAAATTATTATTAACAGTAATAAATGCCACTCCAACTCCCCTAAAACACCCTGTGGAACTAATACTGAGTATTAAAAACTATTGAATAGCTTTCCATTATTTCACTTCATACAAAGCTTATCAGTCTGTGAGTGTACCCATTACTTCCAGTGTTTACTTTAGCAAAGCCTCTACTCACAACTGCCCCTTTATTTTTTCAGTTTATGATGTTATCTTTCTTTGAGCTGTAATAAAAATGAATGTCCTGCAGCAGAGTAAATTTCTCAATGCTTTTTTGTGTGTTTGGTCACTTTTTAGGCCACTGTAGAGACAGTAGAATTGGATCCCATGCCACAATCACAGACTCCTTCACCACCTCCTGTGGCTACTGTGGACCCGGCATCTCCAGCACCAGCCTCAACAGAGTCCCCTGCCTTGTCCCCTTGCATTGTTGTTAATTCCACTCTTTCATCCTATGTGGCAAACCAGGCATCTTCTGGGGCTGGGGGTCAGCCCAATATCACCAAGTTGATTATTACCAAACAGATGTTGCCCTCTTCTATTACCATGTCTCAAGGAGGGATGGTTACTGTTATCCCAGCCACAGTGGTCACCTCCCGTGGGCTCCAATTAGGCCAGACAAGTACAGCTACCATCCAGCCCAGCCAACAAGCCCAGATTGTCACGCGGTCAGTGTTGCAGGCAGCTGCAGCAGCTGCTGCTTCTATGCAACTGCCTCCACCCCGACTGCAGCCCCCTCCATTACAACAGATGCCTCAGCCCCCAACCCAACAGCAAGTTACCATTCTCCAGCAGCCTCCTCCACTGCAGGCCATGCAACAGCCTCCACCTCAAAAAGTTCGAATCAATTTACAACAGCCACCTCCTCTGCAAAGCAAGATTGTGCCTCCACCCACTCTGAAGATGCAGGCTACCCTGGTTCCTCCAGCTGTAGAAAGCAGTCCTGAGCGGCCTCTGAACAGCAGTCCTGAGGCCCACACAATAGAGGCAACCTCTCCTGAGACAATCTGTGAAATGATCACAGATGTAGTTCCTGAGGTAAGCCTGTATTCTGGTTCCTCTCAGCCAGTGAAAATGTGTGAACATTTAAAGAAAGGAGTGGGAGAGTGGTGCTGGTATACGGTGCCTGGTAACCAGGAGACAATGGTGCTGGTATACGGTGCCTAGTAACCAGGAGACAGTGGTGCTGGTATATGGTGCCTGGTAACCAGGAGACAGTGGTGCTGGCACCTAGTGCCTGGCAACCAGAAGTGTGCAGTCTTGCCAGCAGCAGTCCTTTCATCAGCACTTCTGCCCCCAGGACACCCAGCGTGCTTCTGGGAACATTGGAGGGCTTCTTGTCCTAGCCTATACCCTCAATTAATGAAACATAACACCTGTTCAACTGGAAAGGCTACAGCCTATAGCATTTTTTTTCAGGTGTCTCCCTAAGGATCCCAAACTTTGAAGATAGAAATCCTTTGATTTCTTCTAGGTGTTTACTGCTTAGCGTGATACATTATGTATGGGGATGAGGGTATAGCCAGAGAAATAAAATTGATTCATACTAGTTTGGGTTTTTTTTTTTCCCCATCTTTTTACTGGATTTGGGGGAATTTCATACATATGTTTTGATCATATTTAGACCCCCCCCTCACGCTGCACCCCCCATACCTCCAGCTCAATTTCATGTACTTTTTATATATATGCTTATCAAGTTAAACCTCAGTCCACCCACCAGAGCCTGGTCAGCCTATCCAGCATCATACTGTCTCTCTGCAGCCACTGGTTGCCAAGTTATTCACCTAGGGCTGGGGCCTCCTACCTACCTTGCCACTTCAGTGCTGGGGTTCTGCCTGGCTTGAAGATGCTGTTACCATTGCTGAGTTCATAGTAGTAACTGCCCAGCTGTCTGGAAAAATGTTTCCTTGTGGTCATTTACCTCCTCTTCTGCAGTGATCCCTGAGCCTTCAGAGGCAAAGGTTTGACAAAGGTGTCCTATTCAGGGCTAGGCACTCTGTAGCCTCTTACTCTCTGCATGAGAAATCTCAGTTATGCCAGTTGTTTTGAGACGGGGGTCTTAGGCTGAGCTGACTTGGAACTCACTGTGTAGCCAAAGGCGGCCATTTTCTTTAACCTGTACATGATAGGTTCTTTTACAACATGGGTCTTGGGAGGCTATAGAGATGGCTTAGCTGTTGGGAACACTTGCTGCTCTTACAGAGGACCCTGGTTCCCAGCACCCATGTGGGGGCTAACTGTAACTCTAGTTCCAGAGTGTGTGACAGAGTCTTCTGTCCTCAGCAGACACGTGGTGCACATGCATATATGCAGGCAAAATACTCATAAAACATAAAATTAAAAAATAAATCTTTAGGGGCTGAAGAGATGGTGCTTGCAGAGGACATGGATTCAATGCCCAACATCCACATGGTAGCTAACACCCGTCTCTTTAAGTCCAGTTCTGGGGGATCCACCAACCTCTTCTGGCCTCCATGGACATTGCATGCATGTGGCACACTTACATATATGTAGGCAAAACATATACATAAAAATGCTTTTTAAAAAACTGTAAAAGGCCAGGCGTGGTGGCACACACCTTTAGTCCCAGCACTTGGGAGGCAGAGGCAGGCGGATCTTTGTGAGTTCAAGACCAGCTTGGTCTACATAGTGAGTTCAGGTCAGCTGGGGTTACAGGGAGATCCTATCTCAAACACAAAAAAAAACCCCAAAACTGTAAAAAACAGTATGGGTCTTGGGCTGGGGATTTAGCTTGATGGTACAGTACCTGTTTACTACCTTGCATGCTGTAATTAATGGAGCAGTTGTTTAAATGCTAAAAACAGTAATGCCTTGTCAACTGGACACTCTGAATCTCCAAATTCCCTTTTCTGATAGGGTCACAGTGTCTTCTTAGCCCTCCTCATCTAACTTAACTGAGGTTCACCTTCTGCAAATATTTGTTTTGGTACTTTCAAGGAAGTATTCAAATATGAAATAAAGGCAGTGGTGGGTTAGATTAAAATTAAAGTGATGCCAAGCCTTTCCTTCTTGGAAAGAGACGACTTCATTCTGCTTAGCAGAGTCCTAAAGCTTGATTATAAAAGGGATAATCAAGAACTCTTCTTTTGGAACTTTATTCCCTGTATGAGGGATTGTGGTATGTTTCCTCTACATACAAGAAACGATTTGACTAGGTATCCAGTGGGTAGGTAATCGATCCTTGTTGCTTCTGTCCTAGGTTGAATCTCCTTCTCAGATGGATGTTGAATTGATGAGTGGGTCCCCTGTGACACTCTCACCCCAGCCTCGATGTGTGAGGTCTGGCTGTGAGAACCCTCCTGTTGTGAGTAAGGACTGGGACAATGAATACTGCAGCAATGAGTGTGTGGTGAAGCACTGCAGGTGAGCTTAACAGTTCTTGTAATTCAAGTATTAGTTAAACTGTCGGGGAACATATCAGTGTTACCTTACCTTAGATAAGAGTAGGTTGCTGTGTATCTGATTAGAGGTCCTAAGGTATACACATGTGTCTCATGTGTAAGGTCCTGAATTCAACTGCCAATGCCAAGAAAATTTTGCATTTGCCACATAGCCCAAGTTCACACTTGTTACCCCATACCTCTGTGTATACTCTTTAAAAATAGGCAACACATAAAGCTTTTATTAACAGTGAATACTAACTTTTCAATCTTTGGTATGAATCAAAAATTGCAGAAAAAAATGGACAAGTGGAAAATAGCACAGTAAATGCTAAGTGTTGGGGAAGGGGGGCATTAAATTTTTATCCTTCTACCAAAATGTTCCAGGGAACTTACATCCACAAAACCAGGCATTTGTATATCCTATCTACCCCATATCCTCTAACAGACTAGCAATATCATACTTTGGAATTGTAAGGAATGATTTGGGTACCTTTTTGTTTAAAAGTTAAAAAGAATGTATCTACGCTGTCATACTAAGTTTGTGTGTATCTTTCTTTCCCTTAGGGATGTATTCTTGGCCTGGGTAGCCTCTAGAAATCCAAACACTGTGGTGTTTGTGAAATAGCCTTTCCTCTTCTCCAAGCCACTGAAGATTTATCTGCTGGGAACAAGTCCAAGAGCCTGTTTTTGAAACACAAGCTGGGCTTCTGGTAGTGCCTGACCGCCACTGTCAGTGGTCCTCCATGACCCCACCTCCCTTTTCTCTCTTCAGCAGTGGCCAGGCTATATGGCAGGGCCAGTGAATTCACTATAATCTGGAGTTGCCTTTTACTCTCAACTGCAAGCAAAAACTACCAGGATAATAGCACAGGAAAGGGCGAAGGGAATACGGACAAGTCGGGTGGGTCGGGGAGAGGGGTATTTGAAAAAACTTGGTAAAATTGTCGTAGGACTTGCCTAATTGTTACTAAAATGACAAGGGAGTACTTAGCTTTGATCCTAGGTGGAAACAGCACTGTGTGCATCCATTTTAAAAGGAGTGAAAAGCTTAGGGGTACAGCTCAGTGGTAAAGGCCCTGAGTTTAATTCCAACATCAGAATAAAATGAATTTTTAAAAGGAATGGAAATGCTGATTTAAGGTACTCCTTTAAAAGGGAACTATTCTATTAGTACAGTGCTTTAAGAACAAAGTTTCTGGGATATGGGCTTGTGGCCTAGCACTAACAAAGCCCGGGTTCAGTTCCCAGGCAGGAAGATCGGATTCAAAGTTACCCTTGGCTACTATTTAGTTAGAGGCCAGCCTGGGATACACAAGACTAATAAGGTCTCTGAAAAAAACGAGGAACAAAGGTTTTGCAGAACATGGTGGCCTGTAATTCTAGTATTTTGAGACAAGATTGCTGCAAGTTCAAAGCCAGCCTGGCCTACATAGTGAGACTTTGTCTCCAAAAATATACACAGTGGGCACACTGGGTCAGAGGGGAAGTGACATCATCCAGAATATCTTTACAAATATATCTGTAGTCACCTTCCTACCTAACTTGGTTACCAGTTTTACATGGAAGAGGGAGGGCTCTATACCCATAGGGTTTTACCAAAGTAAAGAGTTATATAGGGTTTGATGAAGCATCTTTTAAGGGGGTTGGGGGTTGCACAAGAATACACACTAAGTGGTACAGCTAATATTTCACCTCAAAATCCCAATTACAATACAAATTTTTATTTAAATAAGGGGGAAGCTGTTGTGCAAACATTCCTCTTCAGGTGTGGGCTGCAGACCGTGGCTCTGGGTGGTCAGCTCTATAGAGTACTTTTATAAATTCTTAGGTTTTGAGATGATACCATCTGGATACCTTTGCTTAAACCGTGCAACCACATCTGGGTCTAGCAGGTGGATCCCATCCAGTTGATTTCCCAGAGTAATCCTGAAGTCCGGCAAAGAGAAGGCAAACCAGAAATCCTATACATAAATGTTTAACATTGTCCAAATATTCTGTGTATTCTACCTGTCACTAAGTGTCCATGCCAGTTACAGTATGGTAGCATGACTAATTAGAAACTGGTACAAATGCTGATGTTAAAACTGGCTGGGTGTTTTATTTATTTATTTATTTTTTGTGGTGAGGTGGTGGTACTAGACATTTAATCTAGGGGCCTTACATATGGTCTAACATTGGAGTTCTTATCACCAGCCACCATCTCCCCTTTCTTATTTTGAGGCAGAATCTCACTAAATTAAACTCATTCTATAAACCAAGCAGGCCAGAAACCTGAATTCTGCCTCAGCCTCCTGAGTAGCTGGGATTACAGTACCCACAGACCCAGCTGGATCTACAGATCTAAGGATTAGAGACTGATGCTGGCCAGGCCTGTCACAGCCACAGCTGCCAGTGAGTAATCTTATTTTTACAGGAGTCCAAAACCATGTAAATTATCTCTAGGTGTGGTGGTGCATGCCTTTGATCCCAGTACTCGCGAGGCAGAGGCAGGCGGATCTCTGAGTGCAAGATCTCAAGAACAGCACTTTTTAGGGAATAGAGAAATGGCTCAGCAGTTAAGGGTGACACAGCTTTTGCAGGGGACGCAGGTATCTAGCCCCCATGTCAGACAGCCCCAAACCACTCCAGCTAGTCTGATACCTGTTTTCCACAGGCACCTGCACTCAATTTGCACATACACATAAGAATAAAAAAACAAAAAACTTAAAAACCAGAGCTTTGGGTCCTACTGAATGCTGTAGATTCCAATACTGCCTATTTATAAACGATGTGCAGCCTAAATGCAGAATATATGCAGCTCATACTACTGTCATTGGTTATAAGGTTTTGCCCTTGGGGGCTAGCCTACTCTTCAATCACATTACCAGTTAGGTTGCACATTGTGTGGTCGTCCAAAGAGCTCAATCTTGCGGGTACCAGGGGAGAGTCTCTCAATCATGCCATAAATTTCATCTGGTTTGTGACTGGTGGAACGAACCTAGAAAAATAAACACTAGCTACTTTTGGTTACTTAAGATTTGGATTCTACCCTTTTCTATAAATGAACCAAATAAAAAACTTGGGAGACTATATATGATATGAATAATTGGTATTAAACATAGGAAAGCTGTGGATGCCTTGGGAAGCACATACCTCAGCTACAATCACATCACAGTCCAGACCCTGGTTAAAGCCTTGAGGATTTCCTTTAACACCAACCTGTTCACCACAGAGAACACTTGTTACTTTAGGTAACCATAGCCTTTGAACTTTTCTAGAAAATAAACAAGGGGCTGGAGAGATGACTCAGTGGTTAAGAGCACTGGCTGCTCTTGCAGAGGACCAGGGTTGAATTCCCAGCACCCAGTTGAATTCCCAGCACCCACATGGCAGCTAACAGTCGTCCTTAACGCCCTCTTCTGACCTCTGTGAGCATTGTATGACATGGGTGCACTTAACATACATGCAGACAATACACTCATACACATTAAAACAAAACAAAAACCCCACAACTTCCTCCTATTGAGTTGGGCCCTAATGCTACTCACCAAGCAGTGTTCCTTCCCATGGTTCAACCAGTGACCTGTACGGCCTGTCCTAATGATGCGCTGCAGTTGATTTGTCTTCACCCAGATAATTTCATCTACACGTTCGTAACTATGGAATATAAGAAAACTAGAGCTTTAACCAGTTTCACAGTTTAGGACCTTTACTATCTACAGAGGCAAAGAGTCATAGGACTACTGGGATAACCGAACTCAAAACTAAAGTATTCATTACCCTCAAAAGAAAGTAACACGATGACTACTTACCCCCAGAGGTTCAGACACTCTCTGCCTAATTCCATGGCCCTAGAAAGATGGAAAGGTGAAACAACTACTTGAATGCCTGTATTTTCTTCCCTTCAGTAGATGTTCAGTCAACATTTACATGGAAAATACCATTAGGGCAACAAAGTGGATCTAAAGAATGACATTTTTCTCAAGGAACAAATATACTGAATCCAAAGCTCAGGAGTTCAAAGTCATTCTCAGCAAGACTACCCTAAACTGCATGAGACCCTGTGCTATAAAACATTAAGGCTCCCTGGGAAGGAAGGGGGTGATCCTAAATCGGTCACACATTCAATAGCTGGGGTAGGAAAACCCAGGGTTTTATTTCCCACCTGGCTCTCACTCTACTGCATCAGCCCACACCTACCTGTGTATCTCTGAATTCTATTACCTGCCTGTGACCCAAAGGAAAAGAAAGCCGTCATCCTGAAGCACTGGTATGTTGAGCCTGCGCATCTCGTCGTCTGTCAAGGTCCCGTAGGGTAGCTCCATGTGAATATCCCAAGGTGGGTCAGCCATCACTACTGCAAACTTGCCCAAGATACTGACGTCCAGGTACCGGATGTCACAACAGATCCACTGCATGAGGTAGAACTGGTCATCTTCACAGATTGATGGCCCTAGACCCTCTTAAGTATATCTATCCCATTCCATTCCAAGTTGGTAAACCAGATTGCTAAATTAAGCCCCTAATTTCAGACTGTAACTTGAACTTTCCCGAGTTGTCTAGGCAGGTACCTGAGGAGGAAAGAGTCGATCTGCACTAGAATCACCCCCAACGCTCTGTGTAAGAGCGAGCTCCTGGCTTGGTGCATGGTCCTTGCTTCCAGGACCCTCAGCATCCATGCAAGCATCAATTTCATAGTGAACATATTTGCACGTATCCATGTGGAAACATGTGTTAAGGAAAGAGCAGTCACCTAAAGACTCATCTGTGTGCTTGTTGATAATTCGTCTGAGGAAACAAAACAGGGAAATCAATCAAGATGGTAGGTACTTGAGAGGTGGATCCCACAGTCCAAGTCCAAATTCAGATTTTTGTACTTTCCCCTAATATACTGAATTGTTAAAGAATTATAATTCCTCTCTAAGAAGACTTGGGCTGGGTGCAGTGGCTCAGGCCTGTAATCCCAGTACTTGGTAGGTGGAGCCAGGAAGCTCAGTTCAAAGTCATCCTCAGCAAGGCTGACCTAAACTGCATGAGACCCTGTCTCAAAAAAACGAAACAAAGGCTTCCTTCTCTTACTACAGGAAGGAATATAGTCCAGACTGTCCCTAAACCCAGGTCCCTTCTATTACTATGCTCCTTCCAGAACCTTGCCTGTGGCTCACAGATGTAGATGCCTGACTAGAAGGGGGCATGTAAGAAAAACCTTTTATCTGGGAGTGAGCCTGTACTCTTAGGCCACAGTGGCCACCCCAATGACAGAAAGGGATATGCCAAAAAGGAGTGACTGCTTCTGGGAAACCCACCCCACCTCATTCCCTCCCAAGAGACCTGAAGTGCAGCTTGCGACAAGGTCGATCAGCATCACTGGCTTTCATGCACTCCTCCTTGGTCCCATAGTCACAAAATTCTTGCACTTGGGCCCGACCTCGTGAGCGAAACTTTTCAACAATGGATTGTTCCTTGGCTGTTGTGGTATTTAATAGCTCTAGGATCTCCTGACTGACCTGTGACAGAAGTAGCCTTGGTCTTAAGGGTTTGTAGATAAATCAGCCCTTGAATCACCTCTGCAAGTTCTACCTCACATTAACTCTTACAAGGGATAAATGAGCTATCATGGGAACACTGGAGCCCCAGTAAGGAAGTTATAATGGGTTCATTCCTCATTCGCACTCAGGATGGAATTCAGACACAAAGAGCTTGCTTACTACAGCAAAGCATTAAGCTGATCTTACCTCCCAAGGAAAGCATACTTTCCCCTCAAAAAAAAAAGACCAATTTGTATTCATTCATTGGGTATTAAGACAAGGCTCAATGCTAATATTTTATTGTTTAGCTCACTCTATTCAATAATTCTGCAAAGGAGGGCACTCTGGTTATCCTCATTATGAAGGCAGGTTTGACAGAAGTTAACTTTACAATTCAAACACTGGAAATAGCAACAAATGGGAATCCATGTAGTTCTAATACTCAGAACCATTATATAGCGAATTTGTGTAAGTTAATCATCAATTTTCATAACTGTTAGTTCCAATGACTTTTCATATTCTCTATTCATCTCCCTATATTCCTATTTGAATTTCTCTTCTCTGGACCTGAGGATTCTTCCAAACAGATTCCATGACTGATTCCCTAATTTTAACAATGGCATTACTGATATCTTGGGTCATTTTTTTCATGCACACGCATGTGTTTGTGTGTGTCTGTATGTCTCCTATGCATTGTAGTGTGTAGCAAAATCTTTGGCCCTTCCAGATATATATATATGTGTGTGTGTGTGTGTGTGTGTGTGTGTGTGTGTTGTGTCTCCTATGCATTGTAGCATGTAACAAAATCTTTGGCCCTTACTTCCAGATGCCAATAGCGCTCTCCCATGCTATGACAACAATGTAGGCAGACATCTGGCAGGAGTGGAGCTAGAGCAAAATCATCCCTAATTGAGAACCACTTCTCCCAAGTCTTAATTCTAAGAGCTACTTCTTGTCCAAGAGGTAGTTAGTTGCCTTTTAACTCTCTCTCAATCAAAGCTCTAATTCAGAACATAATGTTAGTATTTTCATGACCCCTACCTTCTTGCTTTGTTGTTCTTTAGTAGACTGTTGGTTCAAAAGACTTTCTATCTCCAGATCAACATCTGAAGCAGCATGCTTCCTTGATTTTTTAGCTGGCTCCTTAGCTGGTTCTGATACTGAAGAGGCCAGTCCAGAGGCTAAAGAGCTGGGAAAAGCAGCTACTGTTGTTGAGTCCTGTTCTGCCCGTCGTTTCTGCCCCGTGATAGTCCCTGCTACTTCTCCAAGGCCTTTCTTTTCTGCCACAGCACCCATCATTGCAGAGAGTTTGGAGTGGTCAGCATAGGTCACAAGAGTGGGATGTGCATCATCTTGTAGGAGACCTCGCTTTACCTCAATCAACTCCTGAGCTGCAAACTTCTGTAGAAGGCTTTCTACCCCATCTTGAGTGGCAGGTGCATCTGGCTAGACAAAGGAGAAGAGCATAATAAGACAATATAATGAACAGAAAATATGTAGTAGATCCCAACTTTATCAGTCATTACCGTAGAGATGGCAAGACAGATGGACACAGCATCAGTGGGCAAGGTTAAGGCTAGATCCGAGAGGTGGTGTAGCAACTTCTTCTCTAACTCTGGGTCTGTAGCTAATTCAGGAATGACTGAAACTGTACTGGGCTTAGGGCCACTACAGGTAGGTGCAGTAGGCACTGGGCTATCACTACGGAAGGTTGGGGACAGTGCTGCTTCTGGATTCCGTAGATCTAAAAGTGAAAAAGTAAAAACGAAAGCGTCAATGTGTCAGTATGTGCATTCCTCAGGAGTCAGATTCTCTAGCGTTCCCAGCATACATCCTTCTAGATGGGCTGACTAGATCCCACTGGATGAACTTGAACTGAGGGACATCTGGGGCACTTACTTTACATGATAGCTCTTAACATAAATGACAGAATGTATGAACTCCAGTGGTAGGGGGGCTATGGGAAGGTGCCAAAGGGAAAGATGATTTTATGTATGAAATACACATTCAAGGGCTGGAGAGATAGCTCAGCGATTAAGAGCACTGACTGCTCTTGCAGAGGACCCGGGTTTGATTCCCAGCACCCACGTGGCGGCTATGAACCATCCTTAACTCCAGTTCCAGGGGAATCTGAAGCCCTCTTCTGACCTCCGCAGCACTGCACAACACAGGTGCACTCACATACATGCAAGCAATACACTCATACACATAAAATAAAAATAATAAAATATTAAAAAAAACCCCACACCCATTCAATAAAAAATTAAAACATGGGGCTGGAGAGATGGCTCAGTAGTTAAGAACACTGGTTGTTCTTGCAGAAGGCCCAGGTTCGAATCCCAGCACCCACATGGCAGATAACTGTCTGTAACTCCAGTACCAGGCCCAGCCTCTTCTGACCTCTGTGGGCATTGCACGACACGGGTGCACTTACTTACATGCGGTCAATACATGTATACACATAAAATAAAATTAAAAAAAAAATTAAAACAAAACAAAAAGCACCAAAAACCCTAGCTAGGCATGGTGGCACACACCTTTAATCTCAGTGCTCAGAAGGCAGAGGCAGGCAGATCTTTGGGTTTAAGATCTGGTCTACAGTGCAAGTTCCAGGCCAGCCAGGGCTACACAGTGAAACCCTGTCTCAACCCCTCACTGCAAAACAAAACAAAAGCAACCAAAAATCCACAGAGACATTAAGCCTCATTTGGAAAACAGACCCTACAATTCTGTATCAGCTGGAAAGGTTAACTGGTGTAGGGCCAGTGAAACGGCTCAACAGGTAAAAGCTCAAGTCTGACAACCTGCTTCAGGTTGCATAAGTACAGTGGAAGGAGACACGTGTACCATGGCACATACTTGCCAGTAATTATACATATACATCATATACAATAACAAATGATAAAACTTGACCCACCCTCACTTTATGATTCCTTTATGTTCTGCAGAATCTTAAGAAACTAATGCTTACAAGCTGAACTAAGGAACTTGCTTTGTTAAAAAAGTACACGTTGGAAGCACTTTGAAGGTCTGGATGAAGGAGAGTAACTGACCTTACTAAAAACTGTAGTAATTACTACAGCATATTAAGAAGACTATAAACAAAACTCCTGTATTGACTAAGACTACATGATTTAATAATGTAATGTCTTTTAATTCAAAGACATTACAATAAATTTGAACTAAAGTATCCTGTAGTATAAATACAGTAAAAAAAAATTTATACCAGGAGCACATTTTGAGCTTTCCAGTTTTAAATTTTTAAGTGCTAAAAATTTCTTTCAACAAGCAAATGTTGCATAAACAATGAGGGAATCTTTTTGAGACAGGGTCTCCCTGTAGCCCCAGCTGGCCTGGAACTCACTGTGTAGACCAGGCTGGCCTCAAAGTCAGAGATCCACCTGCCTTTGCCTCCCTAGTGCTAGGATTAAAGGTGTGCGACACCACACCCAGCAAAATAAATAAATTTAAAAAACTACTAGGCCGTTTCTATTAATGCTGTATTTTGTTAGTAAAAACCCCAGGCCAAGGCTAGAGAGATGGCTCAGCAGTTAAGAATGCTGGTTGTTCTTGCAGAAGACCAGGGTTCAAATCCCAGCACCCACATGGCAGCTAACAACTGTGTGTAATTCCAGGTCCAGGGGATCCGACCACCTCTTCTGTCTTCCGCGGGCATTGCACAACACGGGTGCACTTACCTACATGCAGGCAATACAGAATACACATAAAAATAATTAATAAAACATTTTTTTTTTAAATCCAGGCCTCTGTAGGCAATCCTTATTACACCTTGATTTTGCACATTTCTTGCTATGTTAGTTTAATGCAAATAATCTGAGAAGATTGTCCATGATTAAATTAAATTTAAGTGGGGCTGTAGAGATGGCTCAGCAGTTAAGAACATTGGTTGTTCTTCCAGAAGACCAGGGTTTGAATCCCAGCACCCACATGGCAGCAACTGTCTATAACTCCAGTCCCAGGGGATTCAGCAGCCTCTTCTGACCAATGTGGGCACTGCATGACATGGGTGCACTTACCTACATGTAGGCAATACACGCATACACATAAAAATAATAAAAATTTTTTTTAAAGTTTAATAATTTATTTATTTATTTAGGTATTTTTGAGACAAGGTCTTCCTGAGGCTCCAGCTGACCTGGAATTCGCTATGTAGACCAGGCTGGCCTCAAACTCACAGAGATCCACCTGCTCTGCCTCCTGAGTGCTGGGACTAAAGGAATGCACCACCATGCCCGGCATAAATAAATTTTTAATTACTGAGCATTTTCCATGATTCCAAATTGCTAATCAAGGCCCCAGAAGCAATCTTGTTAATATAATCTAACCCAAATCCTGTGTGGAAACATACTTATATTTTCATTACTGCCACAAATACAGTTAAGACTAGTATTTTACTTAAATATGGATTTAAGTAAAATGCATTTTTTCTTTAACAGACTTTTTTTGCTATTAGGTTTACTTTAAACACAAATTAGCAACTCAAAACAAGTTATCTGACAGTTACACCTAATATATATGTGTATGTATTGTGTGTGTGCGTGTGTGTGTATATATATATATATATTTTTTTTTTCTTTTTTAATAATAGGGTTTAGGGGCTGGAGAGATGGCACAGTGATTAAGAACACTGGCTATTTTGGCAGAAGACCCAGGTTTGAATCCCAGCACCCATATGGCAGCTAACAACTGTAATTCCAGTTTGAGGGGATCCAAAGCCCTCTTCTGTCCTCTGTGGGCATTGCACAACACAGGTGCATTTACATACAAGCAATACAGGCATACACATAAAAAAAAAAATAAATAAACAATAGGGCTTAAACCAGTCAATTTTCTTTTCTTTGAGACAGGGTCTCACTATGTCTCCCTGGCTGGCCTGGAACTCAAGAGATCTGCCTGCCTGTCTCCCAAATGCTGAGGTGAAAGGCATGTGAGTGGCTAAATGTTATTGCTCTTGATCTCTTTTGTTTTGAGATAGTCTTACATGACATGCAGGCTGGCTATGTAGTGAAGATGTCCTTGAACCCCTGAGTCTACTGTCTCCACCTAAGTGCTAAGATTATAGGTGTGTACCACCACACCCAAATAAGATCTACTAGTTTCACATGTTTTGGCATAAAGCCAGATTTTTCAGGCCATATATATATATATATATAAAATGCTTTCTTAAATACTATTTTTTACTACTGTGCATGTGTGTGTGCATGCACATATGCACCAGGCTCTATCACTCTACTTTGTTGTTTTGAGGCAGGATCTCTCACTGAACCTGGAGCTAGGCAGGTGGCCAGTAAGCCCCAACCATCCTCCTGTCTCTGCCGCCAACAGTGCTGAGGTTCCAAGGCCATGCTGGGTGTTTAAACTCAAGTCATCAAGCTTGTACAGCAAGTGTTCTTACCTGCAAAACCACCTCAGCCCCCTAAATTGCTGGTTTTGAAAAGGTGATTAGAGGAAGCTGCAGAGCTGGCTCAGTGGTTAAATTATTTAGTGCTTATTGCTCTTGCAGAGGGCCAGGTTGTAGAGGACCATGGTGGCTAACAACTGCCTGTAACTCCAGTTCCAGGGGATCCAATGCCCTCTTCTAACTTCTGTGGACTCCTGTACACACAGTACACATACATACAGTTAGGCACACACACATACACAGTAAATATTTTTTTAAAAAGGAAAAGAGAGCCAGGCGTGGTGGCGCACACCTTTAATCCCAGCACTTGGGAGGCAGGGGCAGGTGGATCTCTGTGAGTTCAAGGCCAGCCTGGTCTACATAGCGAGTTCCAGGATAGTTACAGGGAGACCCTGTCTCAAAAAAACAGACCAAAAAAAAAAAAAGGAAAAGGGCTGGAGAGATGGCTCAGAGCACTGGCTGCTCTTACTGAGGACCTGACTTCGACTCCCAGCACCTACATTTTGGCTAACAACCACTGATAACTCCAGTTTCGGGGATCCAATGCCCTCTCCTGACCTTGGCAGGCACTGCACGACATGGGTGTACTTACGTACATGCAGGCAAAAGTTACACACATATAATTAAAATTATAAATTTTTTAAGAAGTAAATGGGAGGGGCTGTAAAGATGGCTCAGTGGTTAAGAGCACTGGCTGCTTTTACAGCAACTGGACTTGGATTCCCAGCACCCACATGGCAGCTAACAACTGTCTGTAATTCCAGTTCCAGGGGATCTGAGGCCATCTTCTGACCTCCAACGGCTTTACACAACACAGGTGCATTTACATACACGCAGGCATTCATACACGTAAAATAAAAATATAATTTTTTTTAAGTAAATAAGGGGCTGGAGAGATGGCTCAGTGGTTAAGAGCACTGGCTGTTCTTACAGAAGACCCAGGTTCAAAACAAAGCACCCACATGGCAGCGAACATCCATCCGTAACTCCAGTTCCAGGGGATCCGACAGCTGCTTCTGTTCTCTGCAGGTGCTGCACAACATGGGTACACTTACATACATGCAGGCATAACACACACATAAAATAAATAAAATATGTTTTTTAAAGTAAATAAAGGGAAAAAAAGGTGATAAGATACGTAAGTCCAGGGACTAGTAAGATGGCTCATTGGTTAAAAGCACCTGCTGTTCTTTCAAAGGACCTGGGTTTGAATTCCAGCACCCACATGGCTTATAACTTTTCATATCTCCAGTTCCAGGGGATCTGATGCTCTCTTCTGCCCTCAGTGGATCAGAACACACATGGTGTACTTATACACATGCAAGTGAAACACTCATAGACATAAAATAAAAATAAATAAAAATTGTGAAGTACTTAAGTCCAGTAACTTGAATCTCTCATAAACTAATTAAAAACAATGAGGCATTTGTCTGATAGAGGTGTGTATAATTATGTATTTTTGGGGCTGGAGAGATGGCTCAGAGGTTAAGAACACTGAATGTTCTTGCAGAAGACCTGGGTTCAAATCCCAGCACCCACATGGCAGCTAACAACTGTCCGTAACTCCAGTTCCAAGAGATCCAACAGCCTCTTCTGTCCTCCACGGGCATTGCACGACATGGGTGCACTTACCTACATGCAGGCCATACATGCATACACATAAAAATATAAAAATAATATTTTAAAAATATGTATTTTATATCTAAAATGGATATGCATAAGAGAAACATAAACAAAGATAAAAGAAACTGAGAAAACTGAATTTACCAGGAGTTAATGCTTTCATATAGAGGAAAAAAAAAAAAACAATCAACACTTGATTTCCTTATTATTTCCTAATCCTATGTTTGCTCTTCATGTACCATACTGCCTTCTTGCCTCTTCTTTAATATCTACTCTGGTAAATTTTGTATCAGTTAATAAAGTTTAAAAATCAAGGTCAAATTCAAGTGTCAACTCCACTATGAGGGCGCCACTGCATACACTCGTTCTTTTTTTTTTTTTTTTTTTTTTAATACTGGGGTCTCCCTGTAGCTCCAGGCTGGCCTGGCCCTCACTCTGTACACCAGGCTGGCCTCATCTCAGAGATCTGCCTGCTTCTGTCTCCCAAGTGCTGGGAGTAAAGGTGTGCACCACACCTGGCTTGATTACACTAGTTCTTGTTTCTTTCTGCATTCTATTGACTCGTTCGTTTGACACCTTGCATATATGACATTGTATCTCCTACTTTTACTAAGCATCTGTTCTTGATTCTTAGCAGGATTTTAAGCTCTTTCAAGATAAGGACAATGTCTTACTTTTGCCTGGACCCATGAACAGTAAATGCTTATTATACTGCTAGAGCATCTCTACCTTCAGGTACCAGAAAATGAACACACGAATCTAATTTCATGAAGTCCTGCTGATGGTGGTGTGAATACTGCTAAGCAATAAAAGTTAACACGCGGGATATATGGACTAACTATCCTTACAGAGCTCTGCCAATAGTTTACCTCAGGTCATTCACAGCTTGCGCTGGGCAAGTGTTAGGGCAGATGTCAACAGTCTTTTAAAGTCACTCCAAGTTTTAAGACTATCAGTCATACATGGGAGGGGGAAAATGCTGGAAGAACAAAACCAAATGTTTTCGATTCTTGCTACGGCTGTAAAAGCACTTCTCTACTTATTTAGCACACCTAGTGTGAACTTTGTTCTGGCCACTAAACTGGGCACTGTGGTTCAGTCCCTGCTCACTGTGCCCACAGTGGGAAATAAACGACGCTACAAAGCCACAACTCCGGCTGATGTCGGAACAAAGCCCCACAGCACGAACGGCCGGCCCAGCGCGGGAGCTGCACGCCTCCCAGGGCGGCCACGGGTCTGTGCTGCTCCGGGAGCAGGTGCCGGCGTTCCCGCGGCTGCCAATGGCCCCGGGACGGGCGCAGAGCCGGGCTGAGCCGGCAGACTTTCCCTCGGGGATCGCTCGCTCCCGCCCCGGCCGCGACCGGCCGCACCTCACCCAAGTGCCCCGAGTCCTGCTTCCGCCTGCGCTGCAGCCGCTCACGCAGCGAGTCGAGCTGCTTCTTGTGGGCCTGGATCGAGCTCCACGTGTCAGACATCCTAGCTCCCAGCGCCGACTCGAATCGGGCGCCCGGACTAGCACCTCCCCACCCTACAACAGAGATGCATCCGGCGTCGGACGCCGGAAGGCCAGGCGGAAAAAGAGCCAAGACGAAAAGTCACTTCCGGTTTTGCGAGCGCAACTTTGGCTAAGACTAGCCGAGTGAGGCTGTGTTGGCCATGTTGGTAGCTGGCAGAGCGGCCATGTTGGTTACAGATGCGCATGCGGCCATGTTGAAGGTTAGGTGATGTGTGGGCTTAGTGACTGTATATTAAATAATGTGAATAGGGGCTGGAGAGGTGGCTCAGGGGTTAAGAGCACTTGCAGAGGACCCGGGTTCGGTTCCCAGCACCAACATGGCTGCTAACAACCTTCCCTAATTACAGTTCCAAAGAATCCAACGCCCTCTTCTGGGCCCCTCAGGCATGAATAAAATTCATGGGTGTACTTAGATGCAGGCAAAACTCGTATACATACAATAAAAATAAATTTAAATTTAAAAAGAAAAATTAAATAGCGCGAATAGAGTACATGTGTTTTGTTGGTTGATTGGGTGGATGGATAATTAGATGGATTATGGGTTGGGTGATGGGATGGATGAGACGGAGGCAAATAGATTGCTTGCCCGGTTGATTGCATACCCATGCACATGCTAGCAAACACTATGCCACTGATTTGTACCCTCCAGACCCCAGATTTTCTAAATTAAGGATTACTAGTTCATTTTCTTCTTTTATGTGTGCATGAGAGAAACATGGAGTCTCACTATGTGGCACTGGCCAGCCTCCAACTCTTGGGATTTCATGCTTGTGCTAAGACAACCAGCTTAATATGGGGCCATCTTTGCTGCATAAGACAGCATGAGTAAGCATACTCTTTAAAAATAAATGTGCAAGGGGCTGGAGAGGTAGTTCAGTGGTTAAGAACACCCACATGGTCACTAATAATCATTTATAACTCTGGTTCCAGGAGATCTGACACCCTCTTCTAGTCTCCATGGGCACTGTATGCATATGGTGCACTTACATGCATGCAGGCAAAACAAACGCATAAAAATATAATTTTAAAATTTTAAAAAAGTACAAAGTAAAAATAAATGTGCAAGTAATGAGAAGGTGGTTTAGTAAACTGCTTGCCATGTATGACATCCTGGGTTCAATTCCCAGAACCCATAAAAAAGCAAAGTAAAGCTGGGCATGGTGGCTCACAGCTGCAATCCTAGTGTTGGGAAGAGAGAGACAAGCAAATTCCTGAGATTCAAGGGCTAGCAATCCTGGCTGAAACAGGAGCTCCAGGCCAATGGGAGACCCTATCTGGAAAAACAAGGTGGACTGCCATTGAGGAGCAACACCAGGTGTTGACCTCTCACCTATAAGGCACCCCCACGTACACCCATCTCTCTCTCTCTCTCTCTCTCTCTCTCACACACACACACACACACACACACACACACACACACACACAAGAGATAGACTTCAGGCCTATATAATCCATGAAGGCATGGAAAAGAAGCTGGCATTAAATGTCAGATTTCAAATGACAGCTAGGGCTTCAGTAGGTGAAGTTCTAGGAAGAAATCACAGACAAATACGTGATAAAGGTATAGAGTTAGGAAAACATGTATTCTACCAGTCCAGATGAATTGATCTGAACTACAGATTTATATTTGGGAATAGTATGAAAAAAATAGGCTTCTGCATTTGAGGTCTGATTGTGTAAGGTGCATGTTACCTGAGAAAATTTGTTTGGAATAAAAAATAAAAATTCTAAACACGGGGCTAGAAAGATGGCTCAGCAGTTAAGAACACTGACTGCTCTTGCGGAGGACCCATGTTCGATTCCCAGCACCCACATGGCGGCTACGAACCATCCTTAACTCCAGTTCCAAGGGAATCTGAAGCCCTCTTCTGACCTCCGAGATGTTGCACGACATGGGTGCACTCACATACGTGCAAGCAATACACTCACACACACAAAATAAAAATAATAAAATATATTTTTAAAAAATTCTAGACATATTTAGAATAAACAGGGAACATGTAGGGTTTATGTGAAAGGGATGTTTGACTATCAGTTTATACTCAACTGAAACAAAATGTTATTTTCTTCTGTTGAAAATATTGTTGGGAGAATTGGTTGATGTGAGGTTGTGAAAGATCCTGTAAACAGACTGCCTAAATAAGGGTTTAGCTTTCTTTAATAATCTGGTTAACGCCGGGCGTGATGGCACATGCCTTTAATCCCAGCACTCAGGAGGCAGAGGCAGGTAGGTATATCTCTGTGAGTTCCAGGCCAGCTTGCTGTGTGTGTAGTGCTGGGAGTCACCTACCTAGCTTGCCAGGGCCTTGTGCATGCTATGTAGGTGCTCTACCACTGAGCTATAATCTCCAACCTAAGAGATTGGTAGGGAACCATAGCACTACATATAGCCTTGTAGTACTGGATGCAGCCTTGCAGAAGATGAAGGGTGTTATGAAGAGTGTTGATTTATCTTAAAGCTAGTATTCATCATTTAAAAATCTTTATATTTGGAGACAGTCTCACTGTATAACTCAGGCTGGTCTCAAATTCAAAATCTTTCTGCATAAGCTTCCAAACTACTGGAATTAGAAGCCTGTATCACCATATCTGGCTTTAAAACGGGTTAATTCTAGGTTGTTTTGTTTTGTTTTAACAGACTCTCAGTTCTGGCTGGCCTGGAACTCATTATGTAGACCAGTCTGTGGCCTCAAACTCACAGAGGTCCACCTGCCTCTGCCTCCCAAATGCTAGAATTAAGGAAGCGCCACCACACCCCGCAAGGGTCAATTCCTAAATGTTGTAAATGTTGTCTAGGAAAGGAAGTTTTCTAGTGGGAAAGTCAGGCTGGTGGAAATTGAAATATGGAAGGTCTGAATTGCTGCCCCTCATATTACAGTGCATAAAGTAGCACTGGTGTTCCTGAAAGTCAGCCAAATTGAGGGCTACTCCCAGAAGTCTTCACTTTCACATTTACTTTGGGAAAGTTATTATCGCAAAAAAGCAGGCATATTTTAGAAGCATGGGAGGGTCACTTCACATGATCTCCTTAGGCTAGGAGGATTCATGTGTGCATGTATGTGGAGGCCAGAGGTCAACGCTGGATGTCTTATTCAATCACTTTCCACAAGGATTCTTTCTAAACAACGTATATTCAGTTTATTACTCAAAAGAAGCCACTCTTTGTATATAACTTTGAACAGTGCAGAGAGGAGTGAAACAAGCTTCAAAACAGTGTGAGGTAGGCCTGGTAGTCCAGCCCTGTAATCCTGGCTAGTTCTGGGAATCAAACTCAGGTCACTAGGCTTGCAGTGGCTAGCACCTTTACACACTGAGTTAGCCACTCCCATTTTGTTAAGTGCATGGATGTCTCTACAAACTTGTTCAGATGACTAGAGAACCTGGAAAAGCTGTTGCTGTATGGATGCATTGCATATTGCTATTGGTACTTTTCTATAAACATATAAAATATATATGTAAGGATGCATATAATTTGAATTTCTGATTTTTTTTTTGGTCTTTTTGAGGCAGGGTCTCCCTGTAGCCCCAACTGGCCTGGAACTCACTACATAGATCAGGCTGGCCTTGAACTCACAGAGATCTGCCTGCCTCTGCCTCTGCCTCTCAAGTGCTGGGATTAAAGACAAGTGCCACCATGTCTGGCTTGAATTTCTGAACTTTGGCTGTGCTATCAATTTTGGTTAAAAATTTTCCCAGTTTACTGAGCTGGCACCGTACAAGAATTAACAACCATATTGGTCTAAAAATGTTAATTTTTTTCCTCATTTATACAGGAGTAACACACTGTATTAATCTGTTGTAGACAGGTGCGAGGTGGCCATAATGCCTCTTATTTTTCATGCCTTTACTTGATATGTATCACTTTGCTAGTCTTCCCATTAACTTTGTTTCCCCTCTTGACTCTGAGCTGGCTTGCACCTAGGTTTGGTCAACAGAGTGTGGCAAGAGCGCCATTTCTTGAGCTCCAGAACAAAGGCCCTAAAAGGATTTGCAGCTCTGTTTTGTCCTCTTGTAGTTTGGGCTTTCATTGGAGTTCAGTTGCCATGATGGATTAAACATTTGAAAAGCGCGGAGACCTTCGAAGATTAAAGACTACAAAGAGAGGCCAGTATTTCATCCATCCATCTGAGGGGACAGAAGTTGAGTGAGGCCATGCATTTTCCAGCCCAAATTGATGCTCCCCGAACCTTCTCCTCACCACAGGGGACACAGGCAAACACATAATCATCATTTGATACCAAGTTCTAGAATTTGTTACATAGCAATGAATTACTGATGCATCCACAGTACTGACCCAGTGATGCACGTATTTAACGCTCTGGTGGAATTTTGTATTTTTGTTTTTTCTTTTTGTAGTACTAGGATTGACTAGGGGTGAGCCCTCTACCACTGAGCTATATCTTTAGCCCCCCCCCTTTTTTTCATTTATTTTCATGTGTATGAGTGTTATGCCTGCATGTATGTTAATGCACTCATGTCATGCAATGCCCACAGAAGACAGAAGAGGGCATTGGATTCCCTGGAACTGGAGTTACAGATGGTTGTTAGCCACCATGTAGGTGCTGGGATTCAAATCCAGGTCTTCTGCAAGAATAGCCAGTGTGCTTAACCACTGAGCCATCTCTCCAGCCCTAGCCTTTTACTTTTTGAGTTGAGGTCTTGCTGAATTGCTCAACTTAACTTTGAACTTACTCTGTAACTCAGGTAGGCCTTGAACTTTTTTTTTTTCAAATGTTTTATTTTTTATCTATTTATTTTTTGGTCTTTCTGAGACTGGGTCTCCCTGTAGCCCCAGCTGTCCTGGATTCACTATGGAGACCAGGCTGGCCTCGAACTCACAGAAATCTGCCTACCTCTGCCTCCCGAGTGCTGAGATTAAAAGCATGCGCCACCACGCCTGGCTTATTATTTTTATTTTTATGTGTACGAATGTATTGCCTGCACATATGTGAGTGCGCCTGTGCCGTGCAATACCGTGGAGGTCAGAAGAGGGGTTTGGATTCCCCTGGAACTGGAGTTAATGGCTCATAGATGCCATATGGGTGCTGGGAATCGAACCCGGGTCCTCTGCAAGAGCAGTCAGTGCTCTTAACCGCTGAGCCATCTCTCCAGCCCTGGCCTTGAACTTTTGATCCTTCTCTTTCCCAACTCACTGAGCTGAGGTTACTGGCCTGTGTCACCAGCCCTACCATACTCATTTTTTTACTACAGGACCAAAAGTAAAATGTCCACTGAGATTTGTCAGTTTACTGTTATTAAAGGTTTGAAAAGATAGATGCAAATAAAAGGAGGTTGAAGTTGGGTCTCGCTGAGAACAGCACTAGTTCCGTCAAGTTCCAAGGACGATAGCTAGTATTTCAAGTGCAAGAGTTTGTGAAGGAAAAACAAAAAACAAACAAACAAAAAAACCCCCAAACATGCCAATGGAACCAGGGCCTTTTTCAGAGGTGACATAGGTAGAATTCTATGAGAAACAAATACTGACACCTGGGTAGAAGTCTGAAGTTTTTATTGGGAGGGCAGCCCTACAAAAGGGAAGGGAAGAGCAAGATGCAGATCTGACCAAGTCCATGCCAGCCCAATGGAGATTACCAGGGCACAGCACTCCTTAGGGTCCAGAGTGCTGTCTTGTATCTTGCACTTGTTGAGGTTTTGGTCAGAGAGTGGAAGTGAGTAAGATAGTTTTCTTGCAAGTGCATCTCAAAAGTAGCACATCTAGGGGCTGGAGAGATGGCTCAGTGGTTAAGAACACTGGCTGTTCTGGCAGAAGGCTGGGGTTCAAATCCCAGCACCCACATGGCAGCTAACAACTATCAGTAACTCCAGTTCCAGGGGATCTGACAGCCTCTTCTGTCCTCCGTGGGCATTGCATGACATGGGTGCACTTACCTGCATGCAGGCAATACAGGCATACACATAAAAAATTAAAAATAATAAAATATTTAAAAAGGTAGCACATCTGTATGCCAAGGGGGCTTATATAAGTTTTTAAAAAGTGCACTGGTCCCTAGATTTTTTTTTTTTTGGTCTTTTTGAGACAGGATCTCCCTGTAGCCCCAGCTGTCCTGGAACTCACTATGTAGACCAGGCTGGCCTTGAACTCACAGAGATCCGCCTGCCTCTGCCTCCCGAGTGCTGGGATTAAAGGTGTGCACCACCATGCATGGCCTGATCCCTAGATTTTTTTAATGGATTGCATCAGTTACTATATTTGAGAATGGTTACTGCACACACACACACACACACACACACACACACACACACACACACATCCTTACTTACACTTTTCAGTGTTGGGTTTGAGGTACTTACCTCCTCTCTGAGATCCCACAGGACACTTATCTGTCAGAGTACTTGTTATTGCCACATTAAGAGAATCTGTTTCCATAAGTCTTCCTTCTAGGCCCAGCTCACATAAGTGCTAAACTGTCTTATTTACCTTCAGACCTAAGGAACACTTGGTCTATGAAATGCAGTGAGTCCTCAGAAATTACCTGAATGAATGAGAAAAGCAGCTGCCTCTAGCTTCATATTACACACTTATTCCTCCAGTTTGAACTAGATTCCTTTCATTTCCTTTAAGGTAAGTGGTTTGCAAGCTGCTCTTATTTATACTCATTCCAGCAGGTTAGAGTTTGTTCAACTTCCAAAGAAGATGGTCCAGGGAAAAGAAAAAGGAATGGTAGTTGGGGCTGGAGAGACAGCTCAGCGGTTAAGAGCACTGGCTGCTCTTGAAGAGGACCTGGGTTCAATTCCTAGCACCCACATGGCAGCTAACAACCATCTGTAACTCCAGTTCCAGGGGATCTGACACCCACTTCTGACCTCCATGGGTACTGCACAACATGGGTGCACTTACACACATGCAGGCAATACACTCATACACATAAAATAAAAATAATAAAATATTTTTAAAAAGAAATAGTAGAGGGGCTGGAGAGACAGCTCAGCGGTTGAGAATACTGGCTGTTTTTTTTTTCAGAAGACCTGGGTTCAAATCCCAGCACCCACATGGCAGCTAACAACTGTCCGTAACTCCAGTTACAGGGGATCTGACATCCTCTTCTGTCTTCTGTGGGCACTGCTCGACATGGGTGTACTTACCTACATGCAGGCAATACATGCATACATGTAAAATAAAAATAATAAAATATTCTTTGAAAAAATATAGTGTCTTACATATCTCTGATATGGTTTGTTAAGCGTATAATAAGGGACCAATTTTTTAAAAATAATAAAAAATTAAAAAAATAGAAATGGTAGTACTAGCTAAGGGTAGGCATGGGGTCCTAGCAAGAAGGAAGAAATCAAAGGTGCCCATAAAAAGAGAAATACATGAAAGTTGTCTAAAAAATGGAATCAAGAAAAGCAGAACAGATGAAAAGGAGACAGAAAACAGAGATGTGAAGGGGGGGCGGGGGGAAGTAAGCTCAGTGCTGGCCTGCCCGCAGAAGGAAGCCTCACTGACTGCTGTTATCATAATGGGAACTGGCTCCGAATAGGGGCAAGTCTGCTATAATTGGTTAAACAGTATTATCTATGTTCAGTAAGGATGAGAGAGGTTAAAGGACACCCACTTTCCTCCGAAGGCTGAAAGGAAAAAGACATATTTATAAAACTTTACCAGGAATTAAAAAGTAAGGGACTATTGTTGGGCCAGTAAAATGGCTCAACAGATAAAGGCCATCAAGCCTGACTGCCTGAGTTTGATCCCCAGAACCCCCACATAGTGGAAGAAGAGAATGAACTCCTGCACCTTGTCCTCTGACCTCTACACACACCCACACACGTATACATCAAAGAGAGAAAGAAAAACAATGCTGCTTTCTCCTCACCAACCTCCCAAGATTATCACGTGTTACATGGTAAAGGGAGCCTGTCCCGCTATGGTGGAAGCATCTAGAAACAAACATCAGTTCTTTACCTTGAACATTTACTCACCTCCATCATTCATTCAGTCAGCCTCATGTCGGGAGTCTTGACGATGCAGGAAACTAGTAACCACTGAAAGTGGCACTAAGATTGGAATTCCACAGACCTGTTTGTTTTCTGGTTCTTTTTTTAGTGTCTTACGCAGCCCGGGCTGGCCTTCCAGCGGAATGCCGGGATTACAGGGTACACCACCCCACCCAACTGGATCTCTGTTCTTGTTGCTGAATGTCCTTTGGGGGCTGTTCTGAGACAGGGTCTCATACAGCTCAGGCTGGCTGTTAACTTCCTATGTAACCTTAGACCTCCTGATTCTCCTGCCTCCACCTCCTAAGTGCTGGGTTTATAGGTAGGTGACTATGCCTGGGTGAACCTGAGAGGTTTTTTGTTGTTGTTGTTGTTTTTTAGATAAAGATTTCATTATTTTTATGTGTATGAGTATTTTGCCTGCATGTATGTGGGGCACCACGTATGTGCAATGCCTGTGGAGGCCAGAAGAGGACATCAGATCCCCTGGAACTGGAGTTATGGATGATTATTAGCTGCCATGTGGGTACTGGGAACTGAACCTGGGTCCTCTGCAAGAGCAGACAGTGCTTTTAACTGCTGAGCCATCATCTCTTTAGCCCCCCCCCCCGAACCTGGGTTCTTAATCCAATTTTGCCAATTGGTTCTTAATCCAATTTCAGTGTCTGAGAGACACTGAATTTTTTTTTTTTTAATCTAAAAAATTATGAGGGGCTAGAGAGATGGCACAACAGTTAAGATCTGACTGCTCTTGCAGAGGACCTGGGTTCAATTCCCAGCACCCACATGGTGGCTATGAACCGTCCTTAACTAGTTCCTGGGGAATCCGACACCCTCTTCTGACCTCTGTGGCACTGCACGACATGGGTGCACTCACATACATGCAGGCAATACTCTCATACACATAAAACAAATATAATAAATAAAATATTTTTTTTAAATTGAGTAATTTTGTAAAGGGAAATAAAAACCTGGAGAATTTAGGAATTTTTTTTCTGGAGGAAGGCGGAGGTCCCTTGGGATTGAACCCAGGGCCGCGAACATGCTCTACCACTGAGCTACCTACACCCTCAGTCCTCAGAAATTTCTTTAGGAAAAGCAATGTCTTAGAGAAAATTCCAAACTTTACCATATTGTGGAGACGTCAAGTGAAAGAGAAATAATGATAATGATAGTACATGCTTCGTTTCACAACCCGCTGTGTTTCCTTGGCAACATCTCAGGTATCCCAGCCTGGCCTCCAACTCACTATGTAACTGCATATGACTCTGAACTTCTGTTCCTCCTGTTCCATGCATGCTAAACAAGTACTGTACCAACTGAACTACATCCCTAGCCCTTCTTAATGTTAAGATCTTCCTCTCTTTTATGGGTAGAATTGTTTCCCTTTCTGATTATAACATCAGATCTCAAAAGTCATAAAGTTTAGTTGTCTTGGTTCTATAGACTCACTGATGTCAGCAGGCTGGCTTGAGGTCTGGGAAAGACTGATGAACAGCTTCCAACTTCAAAAACAAAACATAGCACAAAAGTCTCCTGGTAGAAAGTCCTGAGGGAAAACAGCCAGCGGTCACTGAGCGAACGCTTACTTCTGAAGATGAAAACTCCATACCAAAAAAAAAAACAAAACCAAAAAACAATTTTCCACAGCGAAATCATATTCACTGGAGGTTGTTTTAGGCTGAGTAAGTTAAATATTTCAACACCATATGCTCAGCTCTGGCAGGAGCTGTTAGAAGGGAAAGTAATCTCCATGATACAGAATGCCCATGTAACACCCCAGATGGCTATTTAGTCATGAAAAAAAGGAGAAACACACAAATATTTGGCCAAAACACCTTTAATGATGAAGGGAAAGAGACTAGTATTCCCCTCTCTACTCTTAACATTTCAGTGTATTGGGAAGCTCTGGAGCCCACTACTTTAGAGGACCATCATTCAAGTCAGTCAACAGCAAAAGGTCCTCTCCTCCTCAGAACTTCCGTTTCACATGATCCTATGTTAAGAGCAAACTACATCTTATTACAAGACAGTGAGGCAGGGAAGAAGCACTTAGAGCTTGTCTCTCAAAGTCTGGGCCTCTTAGAAGCAGACAAAAACAAAGACCTAAGCTCTGGTCCATGATCAGGCAAAACTTGGGATGAAAGGGGTTTTGAGAGGAAGATGAGGGAAATACATGGGGCAAGGGAATGAAAGAGGGAGTTATCTAAAACTAGAAGCCTTCTAGTGCTAGGATTCCCCATGGTCCCTGGCTCACTGATGCACGCCATGTCACTATCAGCCCAAAGGAACATTCACAAGAAGGTTTACATCTACGAGAACTGAAGGTCCCCTCCCTTGCACCATGTCCTGTTCTTCATTTACCACACCGATTCCCAGCAGTCCCCATGTGCTAAAGCAGCACTCAATCCTCCATCAATACTTCATTAACCACCCTCACCGATACCTTAGAGATCCCAAAACGTCTCCCATGGGAGACCTCTTGGCAAGAAATCTGCTTGTTTTCCTAACTCTGAGAGGCCGTGATGAGAAGCTGGAAGAGTCCTTGCATCTTGACCAGCCACTATCTTTGCCTTGATGTGACAAATCAAGGGATGTACTAGAAAGAGCATCCCACACCCTTCATTCTTCCCTATCTCCTAGGGTTGAGCCACCAGTTACTACCAGCAGTTTCTGGAACAGGGAGAGGGAGGCGGAAACTAGTTTATTACTTTTTTACTCTGGCGTGCTTGTTAGGCACTGCCTTGGATACCAGGAGGCTGAAATTGGGGGAGAGAGGCTATACTTCTTGACCCCTCTGGGGCCTGTTACTAGAGTCACCTTCTCAAAGCATGGTTTCTGAGCTTAACAGTACTAGTGATGCCAGGGCTGAAGGGATATGTGGTGGAGCTGGAACTCCAGGGCTTGATGGGTAGCCCACGTGACAGGAAAACTTGGGTTTCAGAAAGGCAGGGAACCTGTCCCTCAGGCTCCTCAGGAAGGTCCTGGGACAAGAAGTCCTGCAGGGTGGCTTGATCATCATCAGAGTGGCACTGGGCCCTCCATAGACAGCTGCCAGCCCCTTTGAGCAAAGCTGCAATTCCAAAGGTGGGGGTTCAGGTGCACCTGCCAGATGGAAAAGGTGAGGACGAGAGGGCTCCCCTTGAGATGAAAGCTGTAGACCATCTATTTTCCTCACTTACAAAGAATGAAAAGGGGCTAAAAAATCCTTAGGGAGTCATTCCCTTTTACTCACAATTTTCAAGCTCAGGGACTAGAGAAAAGTCACTGGAGACACACCATCAAAGAACTCAAGAGAAAAAGGCAAGGTGAGGGTGGGTCCATTTGGAGATCCTTCTATGGAGCTCGGTTTCTGCTCCCTGGGTCAAAGGGCAGCAGGCACAAAAACAGGCTCATGGGATTGTGGGGTCATCTTTTCGAGGGAAGGAAGTGATCCCTGGGGAAGTGATGGAAGGGGAGCAGCTAGGGACCAAGGAAAGAGCAGCAATATTCTGAGGGCCATGGGGTGCAAAGGGCTGTACCTGGTGGTGAGCCAACAGCATGTGCTTCTTGAGGGTAGCCCGCTCAAGGAAGCCCTGCCTGCAGAAAACACAAGTGAAGAGTGGCCCCTCCTTGGTGTGGGTCTTCTGATGCTCCTCCAGAGCTGTCTGGGTGGGAAAGGTCTGGCCACACACTTCACAGGCCTTTCTGCTGCTGCTCTCTCCTGGCTCCTTTCTCGCAGCTTCCTGTAAGTTCAGCTCCTCCACTGTGGGGGTGCAGGTGCCCTCCCCATCTTGAGCGAGTGCCATCACCTGGCTTGAGCTCCCCTCCAGTTTGGCCTCCTCTTCCATGCCTCCTGAAACATCACTGGTTCCCTGCTCCATGGGCTGGGGAAGATCCAGGTTATCAGGCGCTGATGGAGGTGGTGGCAGAGAAGACTGTGGAGTTGCTTTCTCATTACTGTCCATCTCCTTCCCAGCCGCAGGTGCTGTGACCACTGCTCCCCCATCCTCCTCTGCCCCGGATACCTCTTCTGAGTCACCTCGCACAGATATCGCCTTCTCACCACCACTCTCTGAGCCTCTTCCTGCTAGGGAATCTTCATCTGTCACATCTTCCTCCTCTTCCTCCTCCTCTTCCTCTTCCTCAGACAACTCCTCTTCGGGTGATGGTTGCTGGGACTGATGTGGGAAGATCCCTGGGCCAGAAACTGTAGATTGCTCAGAGCCATTCTCCTGGGCAGCTCCTCCACCTTCTGGGAGGGTGGTACCACTGTTGGGGATCTGCCCCCCCAGGTGCATGCGAACATGTTGCTGCAGAGTGACAGCATTAGTGAATTTCTTCTGGCAGATTGGGCAGGAGTTTTGGGCCCGGGCAGCTGGACTGGTCTTGTGACCCACAAAATGTGCACGGAGATTGCCCCTGGTGGAGAAGGCTCTGCCACACACTTTACATTTGAAGGGCCGCTCACCTCCATGTTGGCCATAATGCAAGCGCAGGGCCCGAGGACAGCTCAGCACTCGGAGACATATAACACATTGGTTAGGTCCAGAGGAAGATGAAGAGGAAGGTGTGGGGGCAGAAGTGGTGGGAGCTCCGGAGGCACTGGAGGCCACAGCCACAGCTCCCTGGCGGTCAATCTTTTCTACCAGCTGCTGCAGCTTCGATGTCTCAGAAGGAGATGTCCCCAAGGGCTCTAGCACATAGGGGAAGGGGAAACTGCCAGTGGACTTCAAGTGGTTAGTAAGCAGCGCCCAGCTTGGCAGTGAGGTCACCAGCTTACTTAGCTGCATGCGGGTTGCTGCGCCACTTTCTGCTACTCCACTGATGGCTGAGCCCTCATTCCCTGGGGGAGTATTTTCGTCAGCTTTACTCTTGGGCTCCACTGCTTTCATGAGCACGAACTTATTGTAAGTCGGGAGCCCAGGAGCTGCAGCTGTGCTTGCACCGGTAGACAGCAATGTCAGGCTCTCTGTGGCACTGAGTGCTGTGGTGGAGGCCACTAGAGGCTTGCGCTCAACACCTCCACTTGGTGTGGCTGCCTCCTCTTCAGCTTTCTCTGGTGGCACCGACATGCCATAAGGCAGCCCACTGCTGGTGATGACGTAGTCTAGGTGCTCTGGTACCGGATGTGGGTTCATCTGCACATGTGGGTACTTCTCACGATGCCGGTGGAAATGTACTTTGAGGTTGCCACGAGTGGTAAAGCGGTTACCACAGACGTTGCACTTATAGGGCCTCTCACCTGTGTGGGAGCGGAGGTGGATCTGCAGGGCGCTGTCACTGCCAAATACTTTGGCACAGAAGCGGCATTTGTGCCTTCCACCGGGCTTCTCCAGGGGGCTCATCACTTCCCCAAAGCCCAGATCACCACTTCCATTCTTTGGCTTCAGAAGTCCTGGGGAGGCAGCAGCCTCAAGGCCCCTTGCTGCCCCGAGACACTGAGCTGCCAGCAGTCCTGTGGTGCCTGGGAATGCCAGATGAGGTGAGGCAATCAGCTGCTCTGTGGTGCCCGGCAGGGCAGAAGAGGGGGCAGGGGCGGGTTTATGGCTTCGCCCAACCCCTCCAGCAGAGAAAGGATGCTGTGACCCCAGCGGGTGGTAAAGGTGGAAGAAAGCCTGCTTAGGTGTTTCTGTTCCTGAAGAGGAGGAAGAGGAGGAGGAGGAAGGTGCCAGTGTCTTGCCAGTTTGGACAGGCTTGATGGGGCTGAAAAGGGGCAGTAGGGGCTTGGTGGAGGCCGCAGTACCTGTCCCGGGTAGCTCTGAGGGACTGGCAGGGGCACCCACCGTCTGCCCCAAGGAGCCAAGCAGCAGCACCTGCCGGCAGATTTGCTCAGTCATCTGCATCTGATGGATCTGGCGCTGCTGCAGCACCCGCAGCTCTTCCAAGATCAGGGGGATGTTCAAGTGGCTGCTGCCTACACCAGGGGGTGGAGGGGGAGGTGGTGGAGGAGGGGGTGCAGGGGTGGATTCCGGAGGTAATGGGGTTGCTCCCAGCTTGGGACTGGCCAAGATCAGGCCCCCACCTCCCCCAGCCGCTGTACCTGTAGCAGCGACCAGAAAATGCCCGGAAGCCTCCTCTCCTCTCCGTTCTGGCCCCCAGGTGGGATCCGCGGGCCCGGAGGACCCAGAATCTGGGGGGTTGCTGTGCTCTGTGTCCATGACCTGGGGACTATTGTGGCCCTCTGGCCGGGGTTCAGAGGAGGCTGAAGAGTTGTTGGGGTTCTCCTGGCCCGAAATGATCACCATTACAGGTGGGTCAGTACAACACGCGTTCTGGTGAGCGAGGAATTCGGTCGGGTCAGAGAATTGTGCGCAGCATTTGGCACAGACTTGGGGTTGGTCCTCCTCGCTAGCATCACCTGGGAAGAAGACAAGGAGAGAGCGTGGGTAATGCGGTTGGGGTGGGTAACAGAGGCTCTAAAGAACCGGGAGCCCAGTACCCGCCAGATGGGGGGGTTGCAAGATAAGCTTACCATTAGGCCACGCCGAAAAACTAGAACTCAAACCCGACGCGCGTGGATCCTGACACCCCGGCAAGGGGCCGCAGCGGGGAGGGGGTGTCGGGGCGGTGGGGCACGCACACTCCACTCCCCTCCTTCGCCACCCCTCCCCCTCCTCTGGCCCCAGGGAGTGGGAACGGATGTGAGAAGGGCCTATGCATAGAACCACGCATTCTATCCCGCCCACTTAAAGTCTTCACCCACGAGCGTCCACCCTCCGCCCCCACCTCTGCCCGAGCCTGGCCCTACCGCACCTCGGCGCTCCGCAGGCTCCCCGCAGAGCCCCCCGAGACGAGAGCTCCTCCCGGTTTCCTGCGCCATGGTGGTGAAGAAGTGGAGGGCGGGATGGGGTGAACACAATGGGTATCGGAATTGGGGAGGTGGCGGTGGCCGTCGACGCTGCGGCAGCCTCTGCACCCAGCGGCCCAGACTGCGGAGAAGCAGATCGGCGGAGGCGGGGGCGGGGAGCAGCGGCGGAGGGGGAGGGGAGCCGGGAGGCGCGGAGGAGGGGAGGAGCTGGAGCGAGGAAGCTGGGAGAGGGGAGATGGGGGGGAGGGAGGAGAGTTTGTGGGGAGGAGCTGCAGGGGGGGGCGAGAGCTGGAGGAGGCGGGAGCCGCGAGTGCGCGCGAGGGGCGACCGGGGGCTACCCTAGGAGGGCTGACCCAGGCCCTCCAGACAGGTGCGGTGGGGCACAGTGTGGGGGTCCCACTTCCCAGCCCTTTGCCAGCTCCCCCAGCCCCAGACGTCTCTACCCTCCTGCCCCCACCAGGTCAGCCCGAGGCGCACAGTGGGAAACACTGCCCGGCTCCATAGATTAAGGCCACAGGGTTCTGTTATTTTTCTTTGGATAAAGGATCTGCTGAGCTTGGAAAACGTGTATTCCAGAGGGTGGTCTGCCCTTCTCCGAGGTCTGAGGAGAGAGGGGGAGGAGGGCCCCAAACACCCACTCCTCGCCCGCACTCATCCAGCAGAATGATCTCAAGTTTTGTCTTCACTTCTCCTCTCACCCTACCCTCATCCCTCATCACAAAAGAAGTTTCTCAGGGTGGGCGCTTGCAAGATAGAATTTCTGAAGAAGTCATTTGAGGACTCCTTTCTGCCCAACACTAAGCCGTTTAGTGCCCGCCCTTACTCTCCCAGAATAATAGCTCAAAACAAGCTACTCCGCAGATCACGGGACTTGCACCTAATTTATGGAGTTCGTGTTCACCTAAGGAGCCGCCTGCAGCTTAGTACCCTCTGCTGTACCCTCTTCCTCCCGTCTTCTCTCTACATGCTCACCGTCCCTGAAACGAACTGTGGGTTAGAGATGTTTGCCTGCAAAGGCCTAGGGAGGTCCATCCAAGCTGGGGGGAGGGGAGCTCCTCCAGAAACAATGAGGAAATGCTTAGGAGCTCGCGGCAGCTCGGTCCAAAGCCCCTTTCAGCCCCAACCAGATTTGAATTCCTAGAAAATACAGGTACCTGCTCCCTCCACAAGGCTGCCTTGTATTCAGAGAGGATAAGTATGTGCCTCAGACCAGGAACTCTGCATTCTTTTTCTTCCTTGAATGAGGTTTAAAGGGTTTCCAACTTCCTAAAATCTTGTTTATTTTTTTGTCTTTTTTTGAGACAGGGTCTCCTTGTAGCCACAGCTGTCCTGGAACTCACTATGTAGACCAGGCTGGCCTCGAACTCACAAAGATCCGCCTGCCTCTGCCTCCCAAGTGCTGGGATTAGACATGCGCCACCACGCCCGGCTTTAAAATCTTAATTTTACTCGCAAAAACTGATCTCAGGTCTTGGTTTTGCGGTTTGCCTGAGCAGCAATAAACTAACCTTTCTTATCAAAACGTAGTCTTACTTTGTAGCCTAGGATGGCCTTAAATTCACAGCAAGCCACCTGTCTCTCCTGTTTTGGGAGTTGCCCAGGTGCTGAGATTACAGATAAGTGCTATCATCCACCCATAACCAGCTCCCTCATAATTGTGTTTTTTGTTTTGTTTTGAGGCATGGTCTCATGCAGCTCAGCTGGCCTCAAACTGGCTGTGCAGCTGAGTCTGGCCTTAAACTCCTGTTCCTCCCGTCTCTTCCTCTCAGATGCTGGGATTGCCAGTCGTGTCCGGGTCTATTCTTGTCTGAGGCCTGGTGGCCATTTAAAATGCACATGCCACCCACCATCTCCACCTTTGTAAAGTGATAACATTGTCCATAGACTTGAGAGTAGAAAGCCTTGTTTTTTTTTGGTGTTGGGGATTGAACCTAGGGTCTTATACCAAGTGCTCTACCACTGAGCTGTATGTTCAAACGGGAAAACTTTTTTTTATTTTTTTTTGGTCTTTTTGAGACAGGGTTTCCCTGTGCCCCAGCTGGCCTGGAACTCATTATGTAGACCAGGCTGGCCTTGAACTCACAGAGATCCGCCTGCCTCTCCTCCCAAGTGCTGGGATTAAAGGCCTGCACCACCACGCCCGGCTCAAACTGGAAAACTTTTGACAAATACTGTTAAATGTTAATGTATATTATGTGGGACTTTCCCCCCCCCCGCAAATAGTATATAGATGAGAGGCTTTTTAAAGTTTGAAGTGTCTTAAGTATTATGGATTAGAGAAGTTATATTGTCAATAATAAAATACAATAATATAAAACACACATATACTAAAATAAGATATATTGTCTGGTTTTTTTTTTTTTTTTTTCCCCTTGGTCTTTTTGAGACAGGGTCTCCCTATAGCCCCAGCTGTCCTAGAACTCACTATGTAGACCAGACTGGCCTTGAACTCACAGAGATCCGCCTGCCTGTGCCTCTCAGTGCTAGGATTAAAGGCCTGTGCCACCACACCCAGCTGGTTTTATTTTTTTAAATAGGATCTCATGTAGCTCAGGCTGGCCTCAAACTCACTATATAGCTGAGGCTGGCCTTGAACTCCTCATCCTCCTGTTTTCATCTCCCAAATGCTGGGATTATAAGCATAAACCACCATGTCCACCCACCTACCCCTACCATAGTGGGGATTAAAACCAGGACCTCACAAATGCTAGGCAGGAGCTCTACCACTGAGCTTTACCCTCAGCCCCCAATCTTGTTAATTTCTCAGTAATATCACTGGCATATGTCTAGGTTAAAGAGTCTTTTCAGGGAAGGAAGGCGCAACACAACCTAACTAAGATATTAGTAAGCAACTTGCTTTCTATGTAAATTTTGTCTTTATAAATTGAAAACAATTTACTGTATTATGTTTTAAACTTCAGATAATCTTAAGGATTTTAGCTTTGTAAATCACAGCTCTGAAACAGATGGGCCCTGTTCTTCCAGACCTGGCCTTCACAGATGAAGAAGGTGGTGTCTATTTCAGTTAGCCCAAGTCACAGGTAAGTGCAGTGTGCATTAGTTTTACAGATAAGGAAACTGAAGCTTAGAAAGGTTAAGTGACTTTTCCAAGTTCACCGAGTACTTCGGTGAAGCAGCGTTCACAATTCTGGATCCTGTCCAGTGCCTTCCGGAGCACAGTGGCATTGTGTGGCTCACAATGGTAGAGAAAGGGCCCTGGGTGGCTCCTCCCTGCCATTTGCTCTCTGCCCTCAGCTGGAGAGGGAGAATCAGATGGAGAGTTTCTACCTAGCATTTGTTAATTAGCACTGAACATTTGATACTCAGTTGCTGTTTTGTCAAGTCTTCAGACACGAAAAGAAATCCTTTTCATCTTCTCCTGGGAAATAGTATCCCCTTTCTTGCCCCTTCATGAAATGTGCTTTCTGATGTGTAATTTGATCTGCACTCTAAGGTAAATTTAGTTCTTGGTGACAAGTGATGTATCAACAGCCACCTGTAAGAGGAACCGTCTACTTCTCAGTACCTTTTACACTCACTGCCTGTCCTGGAAAGGAGAGCAGGATCCTTATGCAGACACAAAGCCACAGAACACAGGAACAAGCTAAGCTGGTAATGGTGCACCAGATAGCAGATAAATTGAGGTAAGCTCTCCTAGGTCACATGCAAAGTCTGCAGTGGATATCCGACTAAGGCCTGGACATGCTTGTTTTAAATTTATAGAGCTACAATGACAAAAAAAATTAAGTGCCTTCCCCTGTAAAACTAGTGCTCAGGGGCCGAGGATGTTACTCAGGTAGTAGAGTGCTTGCCAAAAAAGCATGAAGTCCTGGGTTCGATCCCCATAAACCAGGTATGATAATCCCAGCATTCTGGAGGTGGAGGCAATTGGATCAGAAGTTCAAGATTATCCTCATTGGCTCCTTAACATGTTGGTGGCCACCCTGAGCTTTCTAAGAACCTATCTGAAAAACACAAAAACCTGGTGCCCTGATAAACTGCTGCTTCAGGCTTGGGAGAGAATGGTTGGAGAGAAGGAAGTGGAAAACAGGCGGGTCCTGCCTGAGCAGCAGAGTGGTACATTTGAAGTCAGAGTGGTTCTCAGACTTTGCTGCCCATTAGGATTACCCCTAGCAGTTTAGGAACTTCTGATGTCCTGGGAAGAAAATGTAACTCAGTAGTAGAGCACATACCTAGAAGGCATGAGACCCTGGGTCTAATCTTCAACAAAGCAGTCAAAGGCTAAAATAAATTCAGAACCCCTAAGAATAGGATCTAGGCATTAGTATTTTTTTAAAAAAATTTATTTATTTTTATGTGTATCAGTGTTTTGCCTGCATGTATGTAAGTGCACCACATGAATGTAGTACACAAGGAGGCCAGAAGAGGGCACTGGCTCTTCTGGAACTGGAGTTACAGATGGTTGTGAACCACCATGTAGGTGCTGAGAACTGAACCTGGGTTTTCTGCAAGAGCAGCCAGTGCTCTTAACTGCTGAATCGTCTATGGTGGTTTGAATGAGAATGTCCCCTATAGACTCCAGTTAGTGGTGCTGTTTTGGGAGGCTTTAGGAGGTGCAGCCAGGCTGGAGGAAGCACATCACTAGGGGTAGGATTTGAAAATATATAGCCATGCCCACTTCCAGGCTGTCTCTTTCTGCTTCCTGTGGCTGCTTGAAGATGTGTACTTAGTTTTCTGCTCTGGCTGCCTCCTGCCATGCTTTCCCACCATGATGAACTCTTATCCCTCTGGAACCATAAACCTAATAAACTTTTCCTTCTATAAGTTGCCTTGGCCGTGGTGTTTTATCACAGCAACAGAAAAGTAACAGCATCTCTCCAGCCCTAGGTATTAGTATTTTTGTAAAGCTCCTCAGTTATTCCATATACATCTAAGGGACAGGAGAATAACTCAGTAATAATCACTTGCCTAGCATATCTGAGCCTCTGGGTTAAGTTCCCAGTACACACACACACACACACACACACACACACACACACACACACCACACACACACACACACACACACACACACACACACAAAATGAGTGTTTTGGTACATGGTTGTGATTCCAGAATTTTGCTGTGCACTGTTTAATTTCTGAGTCAGAGCTACATAATGAGACCCTAATTCCAAAAACTAAGGGCAAAGGGTGATGCTCAGTGGCAGAGCATTATCAGCCCACAGGCCCTGGGTTCAATCTTCAGCACATACAAATAATCCAGGTGAAAATGTACAGCAGAAGATGAGCACAATAACAGAGACTAGAGGACTGTACTTTCC